GAGTTGTTGAAACGAAAAAACAAAACGAACGAATTTCACCCACCACGCCTGCGACTGCATCCAGGATTCTTGCTCCCACCAGCTGTTGTTCTCGTCCAACCTCCTCCGCCACCACTCATCCGAGGACGCCAACTGCTGCTCGGCCAGCGCCAGCTCTGATCGCAGATGCTCCTGCAGGGAACTCAGGGAATTAACTTTAAAAGAAACGAAGCTTAAAACAAACAAACGAAGTCAATGTAACTAATCATTATCAAGCACTGCCAAGCTGCTGTCTCGGCCGAGGCAGTGGCACTCCCAGGAATGGTCTCCTGCAGACCTTGCCTTCCCAGGTTGCAGCCCATGGAAAAAAGGGTGGTTCTATACCACCCCTCCTCGGCCTTTGGGACGTCGAGCAGGCAGTAGCCACCACTGGCCCAACCGAAGTCTCTCACTCCGATTGAGCATCGAAGTGCCAGAGCTCTCAAATCCTCCAAAGACACTGAGGTCCCTCGAGCTCCGACCCATATGGACGAGATGGTGGCAGAGGTCGCCATGGCACTCCTAGAACACTGTCTCTGTTGCTGTCTTGCTGCTGGTGCTGCTGCTGTGTGCTGCGAAAGGGCGCAGGCCGTTCTCTGCTACTTTCTCGGCCCACCTTGAGGAGGCGGCGCGGCGTATAAATATTGAAACATGAACTCGGGGGGCGCTGTCCGGCACCCACAATGAACGAATAAAAACACACGAAGTAAACGAAGCATGTGCATGGCACTGAAGAAAAGAAGTAAACGAAACATGTCTTTGGCACTGCAGAAACGAAGTAAACGAAGCATGTGCCTGGCACTGAAGAAACGAAGTAAACGAAACATGTGCATGGCACTGACGAAACGAAGTAAAGGATGCATGTTCATAGCACTGCCTCAAAGAAAACGATTTTTTTTATCACCGAGTGGTCGTGTGATCATGTGCTCAAGCCGAGCACGACACGCAGCACTGCACTGTGGCAAGATGGAAGCCCATACTAATTACAAGCATGGACAGATGCGGGTATTCCAGCACCTGCACTGGATACAAAGCCGCTAGAAGACGACGTTGTAATGTCGTCTTTTCCAGCAGCTCTGGGTGCAAAGGGGCCTCCCTCGACACCTTTTGCAGCCCTGCTGTCTTCGCTTGATTTCTGGCTTCGGCACACCAGCCTCTTTGAGGCTATTCAGTCGTCGGCGAAGCACCTCCTTCTTGGCCTTCGTGGTCTTCTTGGTGGCAGTGATCTTTGCAGCCTGCTTGGCGGTCGTCTTTGCATTGGTCGTCTTCTTTGCAGTCTGCTTGGACTGAAGAGCCTTCCCTGAGGACGGCTTTCCATTCTGGCCTTGCTTGCCATCCAAACGAAGTTTTGCCGGGACACCGATGTTCGGTGCAAGCTTTTGCAAGGCTGCGAAGGCCTTGTTCTGGCTCACAGCAGGCTGCCCAACCTCTGCACCGACATCGGCCTCACCAACAGCCAGGCCATCGTGCGAGGTGCTGCGAGACACCAGGGCCGAAGACACGGCACTTGTCGACTGCAACACAGCCACAGAAGCTTCAGGCTGTGCAAGAGTTTGAGTCTGGGCAGGAACAAGAGCTTGAGTCTGGGCAGGAACACGAGCTTGCTGGACAGGCTGGCCCGGCTGCACCACACCCTGCACTTGGCCCAAAGTTGTCGGACCTGCTTTGCCACTGACAAGGGCTGTCAGTAACTGCAGCACTGCTTGCTGGTCTGTGCTGCTGCTCTTGCCCTTCTTCTGCACCTGTGTATGAGTGACTCGCATAGGAATCGTGGCAGCCATGACGCGAACATCGCCAGCCCACAGACTCGAAGCTCTGCACTGCCCCAATGCACGATCTTGCACCCATTCGCTCGGCAGCGATGATGGATCCATAGGTAATCGAAGGACATAAGGCCAGCAAGCTCTCTCTGAGTGAGCTTGGAACTCAGCTCGAAGCTTGTTTTTGAGCCAAACCTTCTGCTGCTCGTACAAGCGGTGCTTTTCCTGGCCATCCATGTTCATGAACTCTCCAGCCTTGGTCAACAAAAGGCCGGCAGCAGTAAAGTGCTGCACTGTGCTCTCCGATGGCAGCACACAACCAAGGCTGCCAAGGAAGACGGCCAAAGTTCCCCACACATCCGAAGTGACAGAGGATGTGTGAAGAGCGGCCCACGTGTCATCTGTCATGAACTGGGCGAAGTCGCGGAAGTCTTGGGCTTGCCCTTGCTTGCTCGAAAAGTTTGCCACAGGGACCTGTGTGGCTCTGTTCACCAACGAAACCGGGTCCTGCACCTCTGAGGCCAACAGTTGGCTCCCTCGCAGACGAGCCACTACTTCGCCAGCCATGCCCAGACCCAAGTTTCTCACCGATGAAATTCGGCTTTTCATCCGAGCTACCTGCGCAGCCTTGGCTTCGGTAAAGGCCTCCTGTGCCATGCACGACATGGCTTGCTGCAAGAAGTTGACGAAGCCTTCGACTTCATCGAAAAGAGTCGCCATGAGGCGAGAGCCCAGGGAACAAGAGCTCGAGAACAAAACTGCACTTAGTAGGAACGAACAAATCATGTGGAATCAAGCTCACAAGGAAGCTGTGCCTGCAGAAGGTAAAAGCCTCGGCCCTGTTGGTTTTCAGCGGGTTGCCAAGATGACTAAAGTGACACGTGTCTCAAGACACACATGCCTTAATTGTGCAGACTTGCATGTAGGTATACATATATGCAGTGTCCTACGAAAACGGAAGTTGGAAGGCATCTAATTGCCACTCACCTCGGCATTGCGCATCTTCAGCTCACGAAGGATTGGGCGAGCTTCGGCCATCAATCGATCAAAGGTTCTCTTGGAGCTGTTCTTCACTTCGTCATCCGAAGGAAAGATCTTCTCGAAGTCGAAAGCAGAGATGAAGTCCTGGTACTGCATAAAGGTGCCTTCCTTCAACCTGAGCCGCTTTCTCAAGTGGTTGGACGTGGCCTTTGTGTCCTTGTCGTTTTCCAAGAGCCGATCGACGCGATCACCCTCGAACATCATGGTGAGGCTGAACGAAAGGGCTTCTGGAGGTCACAGTTAAGAAGCAGCTCGAACAAAATTCTGCACATGCAGACATATAAACGAAGAAAACCTCAGGTTACATGCAATTGTCGCTTGCAATCGACAAGAACGAAAGAACGAAGTAAACAAATCAGCAAGCCACAAGCTGGCAGGCATATGTCAACATGAGACATGGTGAAACAGATGGAAACAGTTATTAAAAACGTTATAAAAAGTTACCAAAAGTTATACAACTTAGAAAAAGTTAGCAAAAAAGTTGTAAATGTTATAAAAAGTTAAATAACCTCTTTAACTTTTCTTAACCTACTTATAACCCCAAGGGAGGTTATAAACACTTAGACCAGGTTATAAAGGGGTTAGCAGGGACTTGTACCTAGGTTACTAACTTCTATAAGTCCAGCTAAGTCAAAACCCATGTATTAGCAGCCAGGAAGAACACACAGTGAACAGCTTGGGTTGGGCAGAGCACCACGGAAACAGAGCTGGTGTGGCGGATAGCTTGGCTTGGCGCGAAGGGGGTAAGGTGGGGTGCCGGGCCAGGGTCAGGATCAGGCACAAAGTTGTAGACAGATTGGGTTGGCGCGAAGGGGCTAAAGCCAGAGGGAGAGCGCCCCGAAACAGGACACAAACTGGTGCGCGGACAGCTTGGCTTGGCGCAAGGGGGTTGGATGACTCGAACAGGCCAGAGGCCAGCCAGGACCGCAGCCAGGGCCAGCGCCAGGGCCGGTCAGGGCCAGGGCAGGGAAGAGTGGCAGGGCCAGGGCCAGGGACAGGGCCAGGGTCAGGCCCAGAGCCAGGGCCAGGGCCAGGGCCAGGGCCAGGGTTAGGCCCAGGGTCAGGGCCTTGCAGGCCCAGACCCAGACCCAAGCGCCAGGGCCAGGGTCAGGGCCAGGATTTTTGGCCAAGAGCCCTGCCTGCCCCAACAAAACGACCCCTGGTCCCCTCAGCCCAGCGGACGGGGGTGAGGGACCAGGGGTCTCAAGGGGCCGTCCCAGGGGGCCCTCCAAACCAGGTGCGCGGACAGGTTGGGGTTTAGGGATATAAGAAAAAAAACAGCGACAACTGCTGACTCGGCCTGTGCCTGCCTGGAGGGTAAGCCAGCCTGGAGGCCAGCTCGGTCGCCCGCCTGGGGCTCCCTCGCAGGGTCTCACTGAGCGCTCGACCAGCGCCCGCCTACCCCAAAAGACAAGAGAGTGGGGTGGCGGGCGGGTTTAGGGTTTAGGGTTTAGGGTTTAGGGTTTAGGGTTTAGGGTTTAGGGTTTAGGGTTTAGGGGTCACCACATCAATGGCGCACAGGGTTTTGGGTTCTGGGTTTAGGGCCCTAAGCCCTAAGCCCTAAGCCCTAAGCCCTAAACCCTAAACCCTAAACTGTTTGTTGCTTTCTGCCTTAGCACGAAGCAAAGGAATTTCTTTGCACAATCATCACTTCAGATTCCGGACTCCCTTAAGAGCCCAGGGCTGAACCCAAAGCCCTAAACGCCCCCAATGCCAAAGCAGCCTATATGTGGTTTAGGGTTAGGGTTTAGGGTTTAGGGTTTAAGGATACAATATGGAGGTTTCCGAAATTAGGGGTACCTTCTTGGGGTCCTTGTCCTAGGGGAATCCTAGTATTTGGGGACAATATTGGGGGGTCCCTGATTTTCGTAAACCCAAATGGATCCTCGCAGTTTAGGTTTCATGTTTTCACAATGTAATGAATACTCGTATTAGTAAGTATTAGCAAGATCAAAACAGTTACAGGAGTAGCCATAAGAATGTTTCAGGATCTTGTAGTTTGGAGGGTGCCCAGGTTTTGGGTTCCGTTCGGTGAACCTTTGGTATGTTTGGACTTGTTTTTCACATTTGTTTAGGGCTTTGGGGTTTAGGGTTTAGGGTTTAGGGTTTAGGGAGGCCGCCAGGGAGGCCATCTACAGACACGCCAGTGCAAGTGCCGGGCATGTTCCCACCCCATCGCAGGCATTTGAGATCCATGCGGCCGTGCGTCGCCCGGACCTCGTGCTCGTTCAGCGTAGAAAACACACCCTTAACCCGGAACCCTTAACCCTTAAACCCTTAAACCCTTAAACCCTTAAACCCTTAAACCCTTAAACCCTTAAACCCTTAAACCCTTAAACCCTTAAACCCTTAAACCCTTAAACCCTTAAACCCAAAACCCAAAACCAACCCTTGTCAAACAGCTCACCGAGGATGGCACCTCCGAACCCCCAACTCCGAAGCTTTCCTCCAGCACCTGAGCTCCGAGGTGCCACATATGGGAGCGTTTAGGGTTTAGGGTTTAGGGTTTAGGGTTTAGGGTGTTAGGGTTTAGGGTTTGGGGTCTTAGGGTCTTAGGGTCTTAGGGTCTTAGGGTCCTAGGGTCCTAGAGTCTTAGGGTCTTAGGGTCTTAGGGTTATAAGGGTGATAAGGGTTATGAGGTTACAAGGGCTATAAGAGTTATAAGGGTTGTAAGGGTTATAAGGGTTAGATGTTATCAGGGTTGTCTGGGTTCTATGGGTTTCTAAGGGTTTGTACCATGTGCCCCCTATCTGGGGAAATACCCATCTTGGTATCTCCGGTATGGGATGTATACCTCGAACATACTGCAATCCTTATAAAGGAACCTCCCCCCCCGCCCCCCCCCAATGCCCATCCATAATGTTGCTACACATGTAAGCGGGGTTGTCTGAGAGTGGAGACTCGACCTTGTGTTCTTCTCCCAGCCCCTAAACCCTAAACCCCAAAAACCAAAACCCTATACCCTATACCCAAAACCCAAAACCCAAAAACCCAAACCCCAAAACTTGCTTCCAGGATCTCTGCTGGGCGCTGCATTCCGACTGCCAGGGCACCCTTGTGGACAGGATCCTCGAGGCCCAGCGATACTTACGTGTGCAGGGTCTCCGAAAATGGGGGGTACCCGTTTTTGGGGGGTTTAGGGTTTAGGGTTTAGGGTTTAGGGTTTAGGGTTTAGGGTTTAGCTATTCTATTTGGGGTATAACAAGGGTACCCCCTGTTTTGTGAAAGACCCTGATGTGCAGCCGCGCAAATGCTGGGCAGCTGCGATGGCTGAGGTCCTGGGTCCCGACTTGGACTGGCCGGCGCCGTTCTTAGCATCAATATATTGGAGGAATCGAAGAATAGAATATATATATATATATTATTAGTTTTCGGTAGCTTAGTCATATACAAATATAGCAAAGTAAAGAACATAAGTATAAGAAAGTAATAGTATGATGATCGAAATCTCTCTCTCTCTCTCTCTTTCTCTGTTTCTCTCTCTCTCTCTCTCTTTCTCTCTCTTTCTCTCTCTCACTCTCTCTCTCTCTCTCTCTCTCTCTTTCTTTGTGTGTCATTTTGAGTCGTTGTCGGGCCTTTGTCCAAATTCAAGGCCTTGCGGCATGTTGGGATTGGGCTCTGGCTGCGCGATCTCGGAGCTCTCAAGAAGGCCAGCTGCTGACAATGCCCTGAGTTTCTCATGTATCTGCGGTGTGGGTTTAGGGTTTAGGGTTTAGGGCTTAGAGCTTAGGGCTTAGGGTTTAGGGTTTAGGGTTTAGGGTTTAGGGTCAGAGTGGGAGCATAGGACATCTGAAGGTCATTCAGAAGAGAGCCTCAATGACCCCAAGCGTCAGGTGCTAGAGCAGCTCCCTCGAACCCTCCTTCGGCGGCAGGGTGCTGTGGACAAGGAGGCATATGGGGGCACCATATGGTCAGTTTCTAAGGTATGGTCCTAAAAATTAGGGTACTCAACCAGGGACCACAATTGTAACGCTAAGCGGCGCAGCTGCTTGGGCTTCGTGAACTAGGGGATCAGAGCATCATGTTGCTGTTTTCTCTGGAGGGTTAGGGGTTAGGGTCTGATAGGGCAAAACAGATTTTGATTGTAGGCCACAAGTGGCCAGAGCTTTCTTGTCAGTGGCGCGGACACTGCCGACCTTGGGTTTTGCAAACAGGAGATTCAGCCAGAGTCGGTTGCGCTGTGGTATGCGCTGATGGGACGACGGACGCTGCTTGCCGCGTTGTGAGCTCAGCTCGTTTCAAAGTCTTGAACAGGCAGCCTGCACTGTCGGGCCTCTTCGGGAACTGCTTGCCAAGACTTCCATGATCGCATCCCCGCCCGCAGCGGTTTTTTGGCTTGCATTTTTTGGCGAGAAGAGGGAACCTGACGTCCTGCAAAGAGCGTGTGGTTGCCTCTTGGCTGAAGTGGCTCTTCGTTCGACTCCGCGAGAGTTACGGTAGCCGTCCTTTTTGCCATGAACTGGAAGCTTTTCGCATCTGCTCAATGTGGGCCAAGGATATGTGCTTGGGTGCTGAGAACGCACGGCACCAAGTCAGACAGTTGTTCAAAATAGTTTCTCAATACCGTCGTCACCTCGCCGTCGGTGAGAGCTTGTTCAGATGGACGGCAACCTGCTCTGCAACTGCCACCTCCCAGCAACCGGCCAAAAGGCTGCACCTGCAGCAGGAAAGGCGCGCGCTTGGTGGGGTGGGTTGGTTGCGGTTACCCGCAGCAGCATACCCTGTGGCATATCTGATGCTTCTGCTCTGCCTACATCTTCCCAAGAGCTGGTTGAAGGGCTGAATGCGTTGTGTGTAAATATGTTTGGGAGCTGCATGTCAAGTAAAGTAAGTTCAATCCAGGCAGCCTGGTCATCCCCAGCAGGACGGTTGCAAGAAAGTAGGGGCTGAGTAGTATTCGTGCCTGGCTGATGGTGTGGATCGAGCTGCCAGCAGGTTGAGGCCATGACAGCAGAGCAAACTGCAAAGGCAGGGGGCTTCTGTGATCCACGTGCGATTGTCGGTGGCAGACCGGCAAATACAGATGCGGAAAACCAGGGCAAAAATGTACAGTGCCACAGGCATGAGCAAGCATCAGTTCTGGGTCTTTGTCTTAGTAGCTGAATGAGTACACTTTACACTTTCTGGGATACTATCGTCCCCTACAGAACTGAAAGTGTACGTTTTTGGGGGGGGCTTATGAACTCAGCAAGTAAGTTGTTCGGAGGCGACCGAGGTCCTCGTGGATGAGCTGGTTCGCACTGCCGTGGCTGCCACCGCCGAGGCGCCCAACCGTGCCGTGAAGATACTTGGAAGCAATTACTAGTTAGTAGTCTTCCCCTCTGGCTCCTTTATGAATATACTATCTAACCCCACCCCACCCCCCCAAGACAAAAAACAAAGAAAAGTTCAGCAACGCGGCATATGTCCTGCCCGAATCCAGTTCTGGGAAGATGCTGCAAGGCAGCTATCGGCAGCTGATGAGTTTGCTAAGGAGACGCGTTCGCCAGCGCTTGCACAAGAAGTTGGGAGCTGTGCTCAACAAGCAGGATATTTCGGTGCTCTTCTGCTAGAGCCGTCTGGAGCCCATAGATCACAGTGTTGCAGAAGCTGTAATGAACTCCCTTCGCCCGCGAAGAGACTGTGCTCGGGAGGCACGCGCGTAGGCTAATGCAGAAGGTCGCTGCGGGAATGTGTGATTACCAAAACATTCAAGCCAGGAGTTTGACGTGGCCATGGAGCGGTTTCATGCAGCCGCTGAGGTTGCGGGCTTCGTGCAAATGTCCGACATGTCTAGCGCATACTGAGTCCTACTGCAACATGGTGAGCACGAGTTTTTGCGTGGATGATGCAAAGAAAAACAGCCGACTGTGCTGATGCTGGAGAGCCGGGACATTACCCGGTGGCCTAGTGCATGTCAGCGTCTGAAACCCTAAACCCGAGGCCTTGAGGCCCTGAAACCCTAACCTGAGCCCCAAGCCTTAAACCCTAAACTCCAGGCCTTGAGGCCCTGAAACCCTGAACCCTGAAGATGCATGTGTGCTATTAAGCTGCGAATGTACCAAAGAGTGACATGCGGTGGCCAGGCTCACCGCGATGAGGTTGCCCACACACAACGCAAAGGCCTACATGCTTCTTGAGCATCCAGCTGTTGAGGTTCGTTTGAGCTGGAGACTCTCTATGCACTTCTGCTGAGTAGAATGATGATCGTACTTGATGACTACAATATTGAGAATGATGATGTTAATAAGATAAAGATGATAGTGACGATGTTGTTGGTGATGATGATGACTATAACAAGTTTGAAAATCATATCGATGATGATAAACTATTATTGGCAATCTTCAGGACAATACGCATGAACATAGTCATGCTAACAACAGCGAGAAGAACATTGACGATAAACAGATTTAGAAACCGTAATAATGGAATGAATCAATGAGAATGACAATGATGATGGTAAGGAAGATAGCAATGTGACACAAATAGCGATGATAAACAAGTGCAACAATGATAAATATTTCAATAGGAAAGAGAACAGGGATGATGATAATACGATCATGAAAATGATGGTAAAAGTGATCCTAACAAAGAAGAAAAAAGTAAGGGTGATGATATCAGCCGTAATACTAACAACGATAGGGACACAAACAATGACATGGTACGAATAATGAATGATAGCGAGAAGATGATCATGATAATGAAAGCAATCGTGATGACTGTGGCGAAGTAATGCAGACAACAATGATCGACTGTCAGACGGGTTTCTGGGTTCCACCTTCCGCAGGCCCTGTCAATCGAGCGCCGAGCTCAGCGCACCGCTTTCATTAAAGGTGTGCTTTGCACAAAATCGCGGACATGATGCGAATGCTGCAAAATTGCAACCTCCACATTGCATCAGGCTCCCATTGGCGCACCACCAGCCAGGCAGCATACTGCAAAACACAGCAGAGCTGAGATGTTTTCAAATTGCTCTTTGTTGCACAGGCCGCCACAAGCCTCACCATCACAAGTGGTGGCAGTGCCGGTTTGGATGGTGCGGACCCCTTGAGGGCTTCAATGTCAGAGCGTAAACCGCAGAGGTATAGAACGTCGTTGGCATCTTTAGATGTGCTTCTACTAAATGAATGCATGGTTCATGCAGCATGATGAACAGGAGCCTGCATGCTCGTGTCCATCTTGTGTCCTAGAAAGAGCAGAGCAATGACGCAGCTATGCATCGGTGCAGGTGCAACAGGTTGGTGCTTCTGTGGGTCCCGTGGGTGGGCCTGCCCCTCCTGGACCGAGGCACACGGCAAATGTGAGTGGTTGCACCCCTAGACCCCTAAACTGGGTCCTTGTTGGTTATAATATCACATGTTGTCATATCAAATTCCCAATAAGGGGTAAATATGACAATGTTTGATATAGCCCCAACAATGAAGCAGCAAACACCTAAACCCCTAAACCCGCAGGGTCTTGGGTTTAGGCGTGCCCATGCAAGGAATGGGTAGGCCAGTAGTCAGGCGCACGAACCCAGAATCGGTGTCAGGGACAACTTGAGTCATGCACATACAAGGTCTAGAGTTTAGGGTTTAGGGTTTAGGGTTTAGGGTTTAGGGTTTAGGGTTTAGGGTTTAGGGTTTAGGGTTTAGGGTTTAGGGTTTAGGGGCCTCCCAGGGGCTTCTGGGGTTGAGGGCCTATGTAGGCTGTAGGGTATAGAGTTTCCAGCTTAGCCCCTGCTTGTTCGCGACATGAAACTTTTTATGGGCCTTGCCCCTTCCCCACTTGCCCTGCACATGTCATCCCCCACCATTTCGTGGGAAGCCGACATCATAACACCCAGGGAATTAGACACGAAATGTCACCAAGGAAGAGGAAGGAGTTCACATAGTCGACCATGATTGAGCATGAGCGATCTTTGTTTGGTGTTCTGCCCATCAGGACTGGCTATTGGGCCCTACAACCCCCTTAAAAAGGCCCTTTATGGGGTTGATTATGGGTATCATAGGGCCTAATAGCCCCATCCTGGCCCCCTAAACCCTAAACCCTAAACCCTAGACCCTAAACCCTAAACCATAAACCCTAAACCCTAAACCCTAAACCCTGAACCCCATCCCGTCAGGATGGCCCAAGTGCAAATGCCACAGATGCCACAGATGGCAACGCGCTGGAATTGCGGCGGGATGACGGTTTGTGCAGTCCAGGACCCACGAAGCTCTCAAAGGCTTCGAACCCTAAACCCTAAAACCCTAAACACTATAAACCCTTAGCCCTTAAGCCCTTAAGCCCTTAAACCCTTAAACCCTGAAACCCTGAAACCCTGAAACCCTTAAACCCTGAAACCCTTAAACCCTTAAACCCTAAGCCCCAAAACTCCCAACCTTAAACCCTTAACCCTTAAGCCCTAAACCCTGTCCCCTTCAGGATGTGCGCCAGTTCCAGGAGCGGGTGCAAGTGCCGGAGATGGCTCCGTGCCAACAGGCCAGGCCAGTGCTGGTAGATATGGGGTCCCTATTTTCAGGGAATCCTACCATCCCTAAGGGTCCATGTACTTATATAGTATATACTTGGGCCCTTAAGCTACTACATAGGAACCCCTTTAAGGCCCAAGTATATACTATATAGGTACATGGACCCTTTGGGCATGTGGAGGTATCTCACACACGGCAGAGAGGCGCGTGCACAGCAGAGCGGTGCAGCGCGCGTTGGTCCGGGTCAGAGTACCATGTGGAGGTATATTTCTATTAGGGGTCCCTTACGTAAGAAGGGATCCTACTATTTTGGGGGTATGATTATATTAGGGGTCCCTTACCCCCATATCGTAAGCCAAGACGACAGCTGGGACCAGCTCAGCATGTGCCGAGGTGCCATACATGAACAAGATGTACGTTGGGCAGCAGGTGGGCGCTAGCAGCAAATGGGGCTTAGGGTTTAGGGTTTAGGGTTTGGGCTGCTTGCCAACACCTTTGGTTTGCAACATGTCCGCGACATACCACGTTACGGAGGGTACGGAGTACGTACTTGTCTTGTGAGAGACCTTCTTGTTGCTGTCTATAGGTCAACTCCTGGTTCGAAGGTTGCGGAGATTTTTCAAGGAAGTCTGGTGTTTGCCGAGGTTTGTATCACAGGCGGTCGCGCGCGATCCGACAGCAAGGGGTTCGGCACGTGGCCATATGGCCGGTCAAGTGGAACCTTCAGCCATGCTGTGCGGCTGTTAGTTTACCCCAACCCTAAACCCAAAACCCTGAGGGACCAGAAGCCCGAATTGCCCTAGCAAGAGCTACCCTAAACCCTAAACCCTAAACCCTAAACCCTAAACCCTAAACCCTAAACCCCAAACCCCAAACCCTAAACCCTAAACCCTAGTTGATCGCTGCGGGGTCAGGATGCTCTTGGCCTCAACCAGGGCTTCGGGTTTCAACGTGGCCTCGCTGCAAATAGCTCCTTTGAGACACCCAGAGGGTCCATTTTGTATTACTATTCTGGAACGTGGTACCCGAAAACCATGCAAAGATAGGTTTTTTGGGGTACCGAATTCCGAGATTCAGAATAATACTGCAAGTTTGCCCTCTGGGACACAATCAGATGGTGCCACCAGAAGGAGTAGAACTCTCTTGCATGGCCAAGGTGCCGTGTCCGAGGGAGCAGGCGAGTTGGACGCTACTGCTGTTGGCCGTTCTTGCCTTGAACGCACATCCCTAAACCCCAAACCCCAAACCCCAAACCCCAAACCCTAAACCCTAAACCCTAAACCCTAAACCCTAAACCCTAAACCCTAAACCCTAAACCCTAAACCCTAAACCCTAAACCCTAAACCCTAAACCCTAAACCCTAAACCCTAAACCCAACCACTCTCCTGCTCCGTCCATGCTGTGCCTCTTCCCTTCTTCCCTCGTCCTTGCGAAGGCTGTGAGAGCACGCAGAGCACAGGCAGGGCTCTGGTGTGCTTTTTGATTTCAGGCTGGGGCTTATCGCTATAATTGTAGGGGGGCTGGGGTTGATGAGACGGGCTGGGCATCATGTGAGGAGGACTTCCTATCATGATGTCCACCTCGTCTCATGATCCGCTTTCCCCTGCATATGCGTGTCGCTGTGCTCTTTATTGGTGAACATGTGAAGCGAATCCGCCCATGAATCGGAAAGGCAGGAAGTCTTGTCCTTGTCAGTTTCGCTCGACAGAGCGACTGAAGCGTCGAAAAGTCCCCGGCACCTACTTGTGAGAGCACTGGTTTCGGCCACAGAAATCCTCGCATGGGACCTATGCGAGAGCGCGATTTGCCACGTCGAGGATGCCAAAACCTTACGCGGTTTTGACTCAAATCGGGCTCCGCGCCTACCCAAAGGCTCCTATGTAGTACCATTTTGGGGTAGTAGCCTAGAATCCTCTATGACTAACCCAAAAAGGAACTAGATTGGAGCCTTGGGTCGTTCGACTAGTTAGACGGGAGCCAGAGGACCACCCAAGCGCATGCAGGCCAGTTGACGTAGAGGCGTCCTACGGTGCGGCATCATAGCCACGCTAACCAGGCTTGACGGTTGGACCTTTGAGGACACCAAAGATAAGGTGTCCCCACAAGGATATTTTCACCCAATTCCAGGTAGGATATAGCATGATTTAGCATAAATCGCCGAATTCAACGTAGAATGAACGCGGGGGTTCCATGGTGAGAGTTGCGGGGCTTGAGGTATTTTCCGAAATAGAGGTACCCCTGACTAAACCCCCCCATAAAATACTGTAATCCTTAAAAAAAGGAACCCTACAAATGGTGCCCAATTTTTGGAAACCCCCAATGAGGAGGGGCGGGGCAGCAGAGAACCGAAAATACGCCGAACCCTGAACCAACCCCCTCAACCCTAAACCCTAAACCCTAAGCCCTAAACCCTAAACCCTAAACCCTAAACCCTAAACCCTAAACCTAAACCCTAGGGCAGCCGAACCTTCCCGTGCAGCGCACCTTCATCCAGCGCGGGCCTGATTTAGGGTTTAGGGTTTAGGGTTTAGGGTTTAGCGTTTAGGGTTTAGGGTTTAGGGTTTAGGGTTTAGGGTGCTTGAGGGCTTCGGGGTCATAAGTTTGAGGGGCTTTCAAGAGTTTGGCATTGCTGGTTCGTAGGGTTTGGTGCTTAGGGTTTATAGGTTTATGATGCCAGCTGTAAGGTTCATTCGGGTTTAGGGTTTCATGGTTCAGGGTCTTAAGCCGCGAAGCACCATCCTCTCCCTATAGACATACTGCTGACGTCATCCACGCAATTCCACGCACAATAACTCTCCAGCCGAGACTCCCGCAATAGGTACGAACACCCCCAAACCCCCAAACCAAAAGCCCAAAGACCGTCCTATTGCCAAAGACCCTCGGCCCTGCAGCCGAAACCCAGCATCCCCATCCTAAGCCCTTCCTTGAAAAAACCTCCTCCCAGGTTCAACGACCAGGAGGGCAGCCAGCGTCGCTCCAGGTGCTTCCAGATAACAACCTTGGTTTCAGCAATCGGTCTATCAGCCTATGTGTGCCTCGAGATAACAAAGCTACGGTTCATGCACAGCTGCTGTGTACATGTGGCCATACATATGTACAGGTCATGTCTTGTGCATTAGCATGAAAAGTTTACATATATATATATATATAGATAGATGGACAGATAAGTATGGAAGTCAGCAATGATCGTATACGTAGGTTTGTTTGTATTCGTTGGTGCAACTAGTAGTTGAGCGTAGCGGGAAGCCACCAGGGCAGGACTTTCTGGGCCCGATCTCAAGAAATGACAGCATGCGTGAGAGAGTGAGTGTCTTGCCCCTATGCCAGGTCGCAGTGACAGAATGGTGCCAGGCACAACGGACAATGGCTCATGACAAATTTCTAAAGAAGGCGGCTGTCTGCTTGAAGGTCCAAATCGCATACTTGCTGTTCACAGGCACTCCCAGCCAACGGCAGTAATTACACAGTTTGCTGCATTCCACCCTGTTCCTCCGCACTATAGGGGCAACTCCCGAGCAGACTCTGCTGGTGTTTCAAGGGGGTTCCGATTCCGTACAGTGCAGAATAGCGCAACGTTGCAACACAGAGATGTTCCCAGCTGCCATGGAGGTGGCTGCGAGGAATTCGGAAGTCTGTTTTGTGCACATTTTTTGACCACCGATGCCATCAATTGCAAGTCGATGGCCTTTCCTTCAGCCTATGGAGATCCTAGTTTCAGCGTTGTGGGCCGCAGTGGCAAAGATGTCCATGCACCGTCCCATGCACGTGCAATGGACAGTTCTCGTCAGCATACGGAGAAGGTGTCTTAAGAAGTCCGCAAACACATGTCTTGTTCGTAACCCTAAGGGTCCATGTACCTATCTAATACTTGGGCCTTAAAGGGGTTCCCATAGAGTAGCTTTAGGGCCCAAATATCTACTATATGGGTACATGGACCCGTAGGGTAACCGTATGCTAGGTGCCCTGGCCCCTCCAAATTCTGTGTTGGCCGCACGGCCAAGAAGTGAATTCAACCTGGTTGCTCGGTTCTTGCCGCAGGCTGCAGGGATGCCAACGGTAGAACTCAAGGTGGCGAAGCAAGGGTTTAGGGTTTAGGGGTTTAGGGGTTTAGCGGTTTAGGGTTTAGGGTTTAGGGTTTAGGGTTTAGGGTTTAGGGTTTAGTCGTCTTTGATCTGAAGTTTCCTTCTGCATCCCCCCTGTGGCTCTTCCTGAGCTTTGGCGGCCGCTGCTTGAATCCCTTGCTGAGTGGGGAGAATTTTGGTTCATCTGTACTGACGGGCCTTAAGGCGCTTTCAACGCCAGCCTCAGGGCCCTTTCTGTACCCCGGGACTCCGACAACTGGAGAGTTTGTACCCTAAACCCTAAACCCTAAAGCTTATGAAGTCAGGTTCCTTTCGGGCGACGTCCTGGGAGACGCAACCACTGCTTAGGGATGGCGTACCACGAGCCAGGGACGGGGCACGACACGCAGCCAACCGAAACGAGCAGGGTTTTAGGGTTTTGAGGCAGGGGCGTGAGGTTGCAGAGTAGCCGGGTGCGATAAAAACCCACAATTTAAGGAATGCGTTCAATCCGCGGCAGAAGCCGTCCGTTTAAAGGCTTTGGGAGTAGGGGAGTGGGGTAGGGCGGGGGATTGTTCCTTTGGGTTTCAGGTTTCGGGGTCCTAGCTGATGAGCAACGTCATGTCCTTGAGTTGGCCATTTCCAAAAGGGGTCGACAAGTTGGCCTGGTGTCTTTCGCCCTGATACCTCCTCGGTTTCCGGCCCTTGCTGGAGAACTTGTGGCCGGGGACACGAGCTTCGTGTCAAGAGGGGAGATGGTTCAGGAGTGTACTGATCGTGCTGTGCAGTTCGTCAGCTCCTCTTAGCAACTACTACTTAAGGAACCCCCAAATAAATTATAAGATAATTCTTATATATCCTTATGAGGAAGTCTTTTTGATTTCTTTGCGGGGGTTCTTCAGCGAATAATAGAAAATTTGTCTGAAGCTTGAGCCCTCTTGGATTGAAGCTCATGGATGCACGTGCGGAAGGCGGCGGCTAAAAAAGGACAGGTGCTGTCTCGGAATCTGCCAGTGCTGTTTCAGGCTGAGTGTAGCAAAGTAGCTTAATGATGTAATCATGCAGGCCGAAGTACTACAGCAATACAGAAATATAGCAAAGTAGCAATAGAGCAATTTCATAAACTAGTAGTGCAGAATTATTGTGATATAGTAATATAGCCATACCCCTAAACCCAAAACTCGAAACCCTAAACCCTAAATCCTTATTCCAGTCATATCACAATCTATGAACCTAGCAATATAGCAATAGAATATCCGAGTATAGTATTGTAGTAATATAGTGATATCCGTATTCCAGTAATATCATAATCTGTTAACCCTAAAACCTAAATCCTTATTCCAGTAGTATCATAATCTATTAACTTAGCAGTATAATAAACTAGTATAGTATTATAGGAATAAAGAAATATCCTTATTCCAGTAACATCATAATCTGTTAACCTCGCGACTTCCTTGATCTGGGCCAAGGTTGTACCGGCAGGCCAAGCAAACAAAAGTGGCTGACTTCCTTGCCAACGATCTCTCCGAGGAACCCTGGAGGACGAAGGCTGTGGGGTTTAGGGTTTAGGGTTTAGGGTTTAGGGTTTAGGGTTTAGGGTTTAGGGTTTAGGGGTACATTTTGCAAGAACAACCCCGCTTCCCCTGATATGAACCACTGTTGAGCTTGAAATTTCGGAATCGTCAGAAAACATGTCAGAAAGGGAGATTTAGCTACAACGGCTGGTACACGAGAGTCCGAAACGGTCACCGCATGCATCGCACATGCCCGGAGCATCACGCACGTACAGAAAGACAATATCCCAGGCCGGGCTTTACAAGGCTACCTGATCGGTGACATTTTAAAAGATGCTCGTGCAACGATTAGAGGCTGTTCTACTGACGTGTTGTTAGCTTGAAGGTGCGTAGGATATATCTATCTCACGAATTCTGTCACCAATGGTTTGGGATCTATTCTAGAATGCATGCCATGAAGGCCGAGAAGAACGCCTTTGAGCTTGTGATGCCCTCAGGAATGTCAGCCCTCAGGGTCCATGTACCCACATAGTATATATATATATATATATATATATATATATATTTGGGCCCTAAAGATACTGTATGGGAACCCCTTTAAGGCCCTAGTATATAATTACTATGTAGGTACATGGACCCTTAGGGCAGCATTCTGCCAGCTTGACTGGGCCATGACTGGTTGACATTAACGAAGAGCAATGCGATAGTGCGGATGGCCAAGGCTAGGCCGTGACGATGCGTACCACCCTAAACCCTAAACCCTAAAGCCCTTAACCGTAAACCCTAGAAATAGTACTTGAGCTGCGTTGTGTCAAAGTTGCGAACGGCAGATATTTCCATGCCAATTTCGGGGTATGGGCTGCTGTATCTCAGACTTCAGTGTCTTGTCCCTAAACCCTAAACCCTAAACCCTAAACCCTGAACCCCCGAGGTACGGCAACGCCGCTTCGAGTTGTCATGTGCCTTCTTCGTGTTCGCGAACAGGGCCCGGGATGCCATTGACGTAGATGCCTCAGCAGGCAAGTGTTGGTACTACCCTGTTTAGGGTTTAGGGTTTAGGGTTTAGGGTTTAGGGTTTAGGGTTTAGGGTTTAGGGTATAGTATATACTTGGGCCTTAAAGGGGTTCTCCTAAGGGCTCTAGGGCCCAAAACCATGGGTGCATGGACCCCTAGACTCTAGGCTGCTTTGCTAAGAAGACACTTCGGCTCGCGGAGCATTTGCAGCTGTGTGAAGTTGCTCTGGTAGTCAGCTTGTTGGGGTTTAGGGTTTAGGGTTTAGGGCTTAGGGCTTAGGGTTTAGGGTTTAGGGTTTACAAGGTAATCTTGCTTGGCTTCTGAGTTTTCAATTCTCTGCAATATGGTGGGATCAGGCCCCCAACCTGAACCTTGAACCCTATAAGCCATGTACACCCCGCAAGTTCTAGAGAACCTATATTTAGCCCTATAAAACACTACAAGCCCTACAGACCCGACATCTCTTCGATTTATGATGGCGCAATGTCTGCCCCGCGTGGGGCGATCGCAAAGTGCCATGGCGCTGCGCATGTGGCCGCTAGTCAGGGCAAGGTTAAAAGTCTTGAGCTGCTCCACAGCATGGACCGAGATCCTGCATCTTGATAAGCATGACAAATGTATAGGGTCCCTCAACCCTAACCCTAAGCCCCAAACCCCAAACCCCAAACCCCAAACCCTAAACCCTAAACCCTAAACCCAGCTTGTTTAGGAAGGGTGCCCCTTGAGCGCTATGCAGGACCCGGAAAGCCTCCGCCGTTCTGCTGCAGACGGGCGCACACCGGCGCATTGGGCTGCTTTAAGTGGGCAGGCACCCCCTCAGCACCACAAGAGCATTTTAGGGTTTAGGGTTTAGGGTTTAATTAGGGTTTAGGGTTTAGGGTTTAGGGTTTAGGGATACATTCATAGATGTTTTTTTTTTTTTTTTTGCATGGGTTGTTCAGAGAGTCCTTCTTGGAGGTGGCAGCGTTGGAGCTCCTAGCCTCCCTGGTACCTGACACGCTCGTCGCGGCTGCTTTAAATGGAGCAACCCCTGCCCACGACGCAGCTTTTCAAGGCCTCAGGGTTGATCCAAAAGGGTTTAGGGTTTAGGGTTTCAGGCCTTCATGGCATGGATGGCCCTGTGAGACCAGGCCAAAATCACGTGCTGCTGCTTCTACACCAGATGAACGACAGCATCCTCGTGGCTACATCAAAGACAGGCTGTCCAACATGGGTTTAGGGTTTAGTGTAGGGTGTAGGGTTTAGGGTTTAGGGTTCAGGGTTCTAGATTTCATCGTCAGAATCTGAACCGGGGCATGTGGCATACTCTTCACTTGCACACAAGACTTGCTTGCCACACAAGGCTACCGGCTTTGCTGTGACTGTCCGGAGAATAGCTGGTTTAGGGTTGAGGGTTGAGGGTTTAAGGTTTAGGGTTTAGGGTTTAGGGTTGAGGGTTGAGGGTTGAGGGTTTAGGGTCATATCTTTGCTTCCATCTCACCAGTTCTTTGCTTCCAAACATCAGGCGCGACCCCAGCCCATGATGCAGCGTTTAGTGGCCACATCGAGACGATGATGCTGAGCAAGGACTTCAGGCTGTTGGTTTGATGTGCTAGTTCTGTCGGCAACATCACCATTGGCAACGATGCTGGGACCGAAACTGCAGGAACTTGCTGGGTTCAAATGTAAAAAAGCAAGGTTTTACACAACATGAAACACCTGCATGCAGCACATGACAAAAAGTCGACGGCACTCCCATCCGGCTTTACTTCGTTCAGAGCACGGACAGCTTGGAATGCTGATGCTCCGATTCGTTAACCCGATTTTGGGATCTGGATGGCGGAACTTCAATGCCAATGAATTCAGACAGGAGAACATTGAAGCTGGCCGAAAGTTAGATCGCCGGTTGCAAATGACAGGGAAACTCGGACGTGGTTCGTGAGTGACGGAAGAGATGACTATTGGACCGCATGTGGCCGCATCTTGGTACCGCAGGGCACCGAATCAGAAAACCGCCCTCATGTGCGAAGCCATGCGAAGCCCCTCAGAATGCCAGGCCTGTTGCAGTCTGGCCACTCAAATCTTTGCACAGCAGTACTCACGATGTCAGAAAACGCATCCAGCGACGCGTATCCAAGCTAAGGATGCTCTTGAAGGAGCTGGCGCCAGAGACCCTGTCTGCTCGCGATGTGCACGGCAGATGCGCAGCGCATGAGGCTGCGGCGACGGGCCAGGCACAGCGACCAGCAAGCATCTCCCGGCCATGCCAGATGCGTCCATGCATTCTGTAGGACTCTCTGCTCCGGCTTCTTTACCTTCTGGTACCAGCGACTCTGCATTCAAGGACCGGGGAGCTGAGAGAGTTCGCTTCATGCATCAGTGCACACACGACTCGACGTGACGCTGCGCCAGGGACGATGCAGGGTGGATGCCTGAAGATGTAGCAGAAGCGCAGGGCTGGGAGTCAACGGCCCAGCTTCTGAAGTCCTTGCCTCCTGCGCCATGCTCTCCCGACCCATCTGGCGATGACAGTGACGAGCAGGCACGAAGCCTTTTGGAGTTTTACTTTTTGAAGCTTGGTTGCTGAGAGATGATCCGGAACCATGTATCTCATGGCTGAGGGCAGCTTGCATGCTTGGAGGATGACCTGGGAGACCAGCCCGAACCGACGCCTGCTCAAGAGGCAAGATCCGACATGAGTCATGAGCAGATTTCGATGTGTGCAGCGGCTGCAAAGATCGCGATGAGCTTGATGCAGGACCCGCCGCAGCAGAAAGAGGTGCCGCAGGAGAGTCCGGCTGAGGCGGCGCAAATCAAGTATGCTCTTTCATGACGTGCTCAGCACATGCACTGGCTTTTTTACATGTAGCGTTGTTATCGTATGGCTATTTCCCAAATTGGGGTACCCAATTGTTACCTTTTAATGCCAAGAGGAACCCTCCAAAGGCTACCCTTATTTTCGGAAGGCCCCGTATTCCTCTGCCCGAGGAGACCTCGGCTGAACCACTGGAGGTGTCAACAAGTGCCCAGGCGGCGTCGACCATGGCTGCTTGTCACACCCATTTGAGCAAGGACCAACCCTGTTTTGCCTTACACATTCTCAAAGTGACGAGAACATTGAAATCCGGTGGTTCAGTGGTTCGATGTCGATGGTTCCGCCGTATTCCGAACTCTGCCCTGTAGACCCTACAGCCCTAAACCCTAAACCCCTGGTGAACCCTAAACCCTAAACTCTAAACCCTAATCCCTAAACCCTAAACCCTATACCCTAAACCCCAAACCCCTACACCCTGCCACATCTCAGGTCCCAATCCCGGTCCCAAGCGAGAGCCCTCCACCTCGCGAGAGCGTCAAGCCCATCGAACGACACCCTCTCGCTTATGAGATTCTCCTGGCCGTACTTTCTGCGATTCTTGGCGCAGGGTTTAGGGTTTAGGGTTCAGGGTTTAGGCTTTAGGGTTTAGGGTTTAGGATTTAGGGTTTAGGGTTTAGGGTTTAGGGTTTGAAGGCTTGTGGTTTAGGATCCGAAGGACAATCTTGATAACCACAGTCGTGCAAACCCTTCGGGTCTGCATGCAGCCACTCGCCTGCAAAGCCCATGCAGTCACCAGCAGGACCTACTCCTACCCAACAGTCTGGGTGCTTCTTAGTAGGGAATGATGGAATGAGGGCCCTATAAATTCTCGTAAACGGTATGTATAGGACCCTCATTCCCTCAGTCCCTACTAAGAACCAGGGGGCAGTTGCTAGGGTTGAGACTTCGGGGTTTCAGGTTAAGGGTTTAATCATAGGCTTAATTGGGAGCTTTCTGGCAGCATTCCTGGAAGAAGAAAAGTTCCAAATGCCAGCCCAACAGTACGTTTTTCAATACAGGGCAGTCGCCAGTAAGGCCTACCCAACGACAGTCAAACGCGCAATGCCCTACCAAATTGGCGTTTACCACTCGCAGCCTACAGTAAAGCGGGCGTCAACAACAGAATGCCTGGACAGCCACTTTAGGGTTTAGGGTTCAGGGTTTAGGGTTTAGGGTTAAAGGGAGTAGTCACGTACTGTAAGGTCTTCCGTGTCTTCAGTCTTCACGAAATTCGACGAAGTTCTTCAGAAGGTGGCCACTGTGTCCTGAGCCAGGCTTCATGGAAAGACCCTAAACCCTAAACCCTAAACCCTAAACCCTAAACCCTAAACCCTAAACCCTAAACCCTAAACCCTAAACCCTAAACCCTAAACGAGTGTCTTTATATGTCTTCACCAAAGGTCTGCACATCGTAAGCGAGAGTGCGTCCAGAGGCAGAGGTCCCAGAAAGCAGCGGGCTGAACCTCCACCCGATCTAGTTAGGGCATGTCTCATCGTACAGTATGGTGCCTACTCCCTCCCGCCTAGTACTTGAAGTTAGAAAACCGAAGGCAAGCGCTTTTGCAAGTGGCAACTGTGTCCGAAGCTCTAAACTCATCCCGATTCACCTTAGGACGTAAGAAGCAGTCCTACACCCTGCCCACCCTAGAAAAGTCTGTATTCGAATGGCTCAGCCCACCCTAAACCACCAACAAAAAGACTCACAAAAAAAACGTGTGGAGGGGCGCCTTTTCTTCTCTCCCATATTTGGGTGCCCTGTACCTAAACGTAGGGTTTAGGGTTTAGGGTTTAGAGTTTGGGCTTTCAAGTACTTGCTCTGCATAATGAGGTTCTCTTCGGGTTCAGGGTTTAGGGACTTCGAAGAATAGCCTTAAGGGTCCATGTACCTAAACAGGGAGAAAGTGTGCCTTAAGGTACTTGCTACTTGGGGACCCCGTCTGAGCCCATCTACCCGCATCTACTTGAGAATCTGAACCAAACTTCATAGTACTAGAATTAAAGGTCTAAACATTATGGATGTGAGGCTGTGCCTCGAGTTGCGGGCAAGCCTTGCGATTCAGTCCATACAAACTGAACAAATGCTTTGTCCAACGCCGAATAGACCACAAAGCGTAGGAAGGTGAATGCAGCATCGACAGGCCTGAGCCTAAACCCGATAGAAAGCGAAGGATGTCTCATCTTAGTCCGTTTGCTCCCGTCTTCTTGAGCCCATAAGTTTTGGCCCTTAGCCCTTTAAATCCTAAGCCCTATAGCCCTATAGCCCTATAGCCCTATAGCCCTATAGCCCTATAGCCCTATAGCCCTAAACCCTAAACCCTAAACCCTAAACCCTAAACCCTAAACCCTAAACCCTAAACCCTATAAACCCCAAACCCCCTGAGCTAGGGTATTGCTCAGCCATGGGCACGGGAAGGCCAGTTCACTTGTAGGTCAGTAGGGCAGTTCCTTGCGCTGCGGAGCATTCAAGTAGTTTTGGGTTTGGGATTTGCGGGGGGAGGGGGGGGTTATGGTTTAGGGTTTAGGGTTTGATTAGGGTTTAGGGTTTAGGGTTTGTGGGGGGTTTAGGACTTAGGACCTTCTTGTTTTGGGCTTTGGGGTTAGACTTTGGCTTGGGGCTTTAAAGCATGACATCAGAGTTCTTGGTTGTCTGCGTCTATAGGGCTACAGCTGAGGAGAGATTTGCGCAACGCCGATGGGAGCTTCTGCTTGGTCGAGATTCCAGGCAGCAGCAAGGGCTTCAAGGGCTTCCAGACAGAGGTGGTCGAGGACAGCTCCAATCCGGTGTGGAACAAAAGCCAGAACCTGGTCCTTTCCCCAGAGGAGGTGGTCATCTTCACAGTGATGGACCGTGATGTTGGTGATGCTGATGACCTCCTTGGCAAAATGTCGCTGCCAGTGGCCAAGCTCCTGCCGGATAGTTTCGAAGGTGAGCTGCAGCTGCAGGAAACTGGGAAGGCTTCGGCCTTCTTGACGATTCGTTCCAAGGTTTTGAGGCCGCTCTACAGTGAAGCCGACGTGGCCAATGCGCTGAAGGCAAGCCAGAACCAAACCAAGAGACCTCCACCGCCAAAACCTCCGAAACTGCACGAGATTGAGCTGACTGTGAAGGCGGCCAAGGGCCTGCGCAATGCTGACTGGAGTCTTGGTAGTTCCGGAGGGTCAGATCCCTATGTCACGGTGAGCGTACCAGGTACCAAGACTGAATTTCAGACCTCGGTGGTCGAGGATTGCAGTGATCCAGAGTGGAACTTCGTGCAGAAGCTGTCCGTTGCCCCTAAGCAGACGTTGGTGTTTAAGGTCTTTGATCGAGATAGGCGTGCCGACGAGCTTTTGGGCAGCGCTGTCCTCGCCGTGTCCGGCATTCTGCCAGACGGCTTTAGCGGCTCGCTGCAGCTAGAAGACCAGGGCAAGGCATCTGCTGCGGAACTGCTGGTCTCCGTCCGGGTGTTGCCGAGCGGCCCTGGTAAGGATAGCGTTCCATCCAAGGGCAAGGAGGATGCAAATGATGCAAAGGCCTTGGCCTACTTAGTGGTGATGACTGTTTTATCTGCGAGCGGACTACGCAACGCCGACTGGAGATTGAAATCGTCTGGTGGCTCCGATGCGTACTGCTTGGTCGAGGTTCCAGGCAGCAGCAAGGGCTTCAAGGGCTTCCAGACAGAGGTGGTCGAGGACAGCTCCAATCCGGCGTGGAACAAAAGCCAGAACCTGGTCCTTTCCCCAGAGGAGGTGGTCTTGTTCACAGTGATGGACCGTGATGTTGGTGATGCTGATGACCTCCTTGGCAAAATGTCGCTGCCAGTGGCCAAGCTCCTGCCGGATAGTTTCGAAGGTGAGCTGCAGCTGCAGGAAACTGGGAAGGCTTCGGCCTTCTTGACGATTCGTTCCAAGGTTTTGAGGCCGCTCTACAGTGAAGCCGACGTGGCCAATGCGCTGAAGGCAAGCCAGAACCAAACCAAGAGACCTCCACCGCCAAAACCTCCGAAACTGCACGAGATAGAGCTGACTGTGAAGGCGGCCAAGGGCCTGCGCAATGCTGACTGGAGTCTTGGTAGTTCCGGAGGGTCAGATCCCTATGTCACGGTGAGCGTACCAGGTACCAAGACTGAATTTCAGACCCCGGTGGTCGAGGATTGCAGTGATCCAGAGTGGAACTTCGTGCAGAAGCTGTCCGTTGCCCCTAAGCAGACGTTGGTGTTTAAGGTCTTTGATCGAGATAGGCGTGCCGACGAGCTTTTGGGCAGCGCTGTCCTCGCCGTGTCCGGCATTCTGCCAGACGGCTTTAGCGGCTCGCTGCAGCTAGAAGACCAGGGCAAGGCATCTGCTGCGGAACTGCTGGTCTCCGTCCGGGTGTTGCCGAGCGGCCCTGGTAAGGATAGCGTTCCATCCAAGGGCAAGGAGGATGCAAATGATGCGAAGGCCTTGGCCTACTCAGTGGTGATGACTGTTTTATCTGCGAGCGGACTACGCAACGCCGACTGGAGCTTGAAATCGTCTGGTGGCTCCGATGCGTACTGCTTGGTCGAGGTTCCAGGCAGCAGCAAGGGCTTCAAGGGCTTCCAGACAGAGGTGGTCGAGGACAGCTCCAATCCGGTGTGGAACAAAAGCCAGAACCTGGTCCTTTCCCCAGAGGAGGTGGTCATCTTCACAGTGATGGACCGTGATGTTGGTGATGCTGATGACCTCCTTGGCAAAATGTCGCTGCCAGTTGCCAAGCTTCTGCCGGATAGTTTCGAAGGTGAGCTGCAGCTGCAGGAAACTGGGAAGGCTTCGGCCTTCTTGACGATTCGTTCCAAGGTTTTGAGGCCGCTCTACAGTGAAGCCGACGTGGCCAATGCGCTGAAGTCAAGCCAGAACCAAACCAAGAGACCTCCACCGCCAAAACCTCCGAAACTGCACGAGATAGAGCTGACTGTGAAGGCGGCCAAGGGCCTGCGCAATGCTGACTGGAGTCTTGGTAGTTCCGGAGGGTCAGATCCCTATGTCACGGTGAGCGTACCAGGTACCAAGACTGAATTTCAGACCCCGGTGGTCGAGGATTGCAGTGATCCAGAGTGGAACTTCGTGCAGAAGCTGTCCGTTGCCCCTAAGCAGACGTTGGTGTTTAAGGTCTTTGATCGAGATAGGCGTGCCGACGAGCTTTTGGGCAGCGCTGTCCTCGCCGTGTCCGGCATTCTGCCAGACGGCTTTAGCGGCTCGCTGCAGCTAGAAGACCAGGGCAAGGCATCTGCTGCGGAACTGCTGGTCTCCGTCCGGGTGTTGCCGAGCGGCCCTGGTAAGGATAGCGTTCCATCCAAGGGCAAGGAGGATGCAAATGATGCGAAGGCCTTGGCCTACTCAGTGGTGATGACTGTTTTATCTGCGAGCGGACTACGCAACGCCGACTGGAGCTTGAAATCGTCTGGTGGCTCCGATGCGTACTGCTTGGTCGAGGTTCCAGGCAGCAGCAAGGGCTTCAAGGGCTTCCAGACAGAGGTGGTCGAGGACAGCTCCAATCCGGTGTGGAACAAAAGCCAGAACCTGGTCCTTTCCCCAGAGGAGGTGGTCATCTTCACAGTGATGGACCGTGATGTTGGTGATGCTGATGACCTCCTTGGCAAAATGTCGCTGCCAGTGGCCAAGCTCCTGCCGGATAGTTTCGAAGGTGAGCTGCAGCTGCAGGAAACTGGGAAGGCTTCGGCCTTCTTGACGATTCGTTCCAAGGTTTTGAGGCCGCTCTACAGTGAAGCCGACGTGGCCAATGCGCTGAAGGCAAGCCAGAACCAAACCAAGAGACCTCCACCGCCAAAACCTCCGAAACTGCACGAGATTGAGCTGACTGTGAAGGCGGCCAAGGGCCTGCGCAATGCTGACTGGAGTCTTGGTAGTTCCGGAGGGTCAGATCCCTATGTCACGGTGAGCGTACCAGGTACCAAGACTGAATTTCAGACCTCGGTGGTCGAGGATTGCAGTGATCCAGAGTGGAACTTCGTGCAGAAGCTGTCCGTTGCCCCTAAGCAGACGTTGGTGTTTAAGGTCTTTGATCGAGATAGGCGTGCCGACGAGCTTTTGGGCAGCGCTGTCCTAGCCGTGTCCGGCATTCTGCCAGACGGCTTTAGCGGCTCGCTGCAGCTAGAAGACCAGGGCAAGGCATCTGCTGCGGAACTGCTGGTCTCCGTCCGGGTGTTGCCATCTGCTTCACAATCTCGAGGCGAGGGTTTAGCACGACAGGCTGAATCTGGTTCGGTCACAGAGGGACGGATGGAAAGGCGCGTGCCTCAAGCCGTGCCGACTTGCCCATCAGGCATAAGCAACAGCGGGGCCAGGGTTCCTGCCACAGCCACGGCGCCTGCAGCGCCACCCGTACCTGGAGAGGCATGGACGCTTTCGTAGCACACGTCGTCTGATGTTTCCGTGCTGTCTTGGGTTGCAAGGCGTTGTGAGATGTTGTGTTCTGTCTCGTCTTGAGTTTGTCCCCTTTGAAGGTGGAAGTGACGGTGCACTCTGCATCAGGCCTCCGCAATGCTGACTGGTCCTTCGGCAAGTCAGGTGGGTCTGATGCTTTCTGCGTGGTGGAAGTACCAGGCACAAAGCAGCAGTTCCGGACCAATGTGGTGGAGGACAGCAGCAACCCTGTTTGGAACGTGACGAAGAAACTGCAGCTGACTACTACGGCGCAACCGCTGCTGCTGTCGATCTTTGACCGTGACGTCGCTGGGACAGATTTGCTTGGAAAGGTGATGATCTCACGGGACAAGTTTCATCCGAATGGTTATACGGGCAAACTGAAGCTGGACGAGAGTGGAACCTCAGATGCTTATGTTGTCGTCAGTATCAATTGGCGGGGCCAAAATGGCTGAACCATTGGCCAATGGCTTCCTCACTCAGATCCTTTCGACGCCCCTTTGGCCCGGATGATCACTCTGGTAGAGCGCTGAAACACGCTGAAACACGCTGAAACCGCGCTGAGCAAGTGCAAGTGGTCTTCCATGCATCCTGCGATCAGCCAGGAGGACTCCCGAGATCAGTCAGAAGGACTCCTTGGGATGGATGAAGCGCGATCCCTTGGATTGCTTTCAGCCTCTGGACTCTGGATCTTCTGACTTTGGGTCGACCGTAAACCCTAAACCCTAAACCCTAAAACCCTAAAACCCTAAACCCTAAAACCCTAAACCCCTTAACCCTAAACTGCAAAATCGGAGACTGACACCCCTGCAGACTCCGAGCTTCGCAGGGGCTTGCTGAGAGCTCCCTGCAGAGCCAGCGGCACGCAGCCATCCAAAAGGGATAAAAAAGGGTTAAGGGTTTGGGGTTTAGGGTTTAGGGTTTAGGATTAGGGTTTAGGGTTTAGGGTTTAGGGTTTAGGGTTTAGGGTTTAGGGTTTAGGGTTTAGGGTTTAGGGTTTAGGGTTTAGGGTTTAGGGTTTAGGGTTTAGGCAGGGCATGGCAGTGAGGGTGTGCACACACGCGATGGCGAGATGCCTTCAACTCAAGCTTCGGTCCCATGTGTCTCTGATGACCTAAACCCTAAACCCCTAAACCCCTAAACCCTAAACCCTAAACCCTCCCCTAAACCCTAACCCCTAAACCCTAAACCCTAAACCCCAAACCCTAAACCCTAAAGCCTGCCTAGGTGTGTGTGCGGTACATGGATGACTGGCCTTTGGCTTTGTCGCAAGCCCAGCTGTTCATGTTGTGCGCGCAGCACCCATGTCCCCGCTCTGATACCCTTTGCGTGGTCAGTTCTCTTGCATAAGGTGAGGGTCCCAGAAAGGGACCCTAATCTACCATTTGCTTAAGAACCCCCAAAAATAAAAGAAAATAACCCCGATATTACCCTTAATAAGGAAGAATATCCTGTGTTATTGTTGGGGGGCTTCCTAAGCAATTAGTAGTAATTGAGAGAGCCTAAACCCTAAACCCTAAACCCTAAACTCCTCACTGTTGAGGCTCATTGCGCGGCATGTCGAGCTCGGTGATGCTGACATTGCTGGGGAGCGGCGGCGGGCGCCACGTCCTAACATCCATCTTAACCCTAAATCCTAACCCTAAACCCTAAACCATAAACCCTAAATCCTAACCCTAAACCATCTTAACCCCAGCCCTCCCTAAACCCTAACCCTAAACCCTATTCCTTTTCTAACGCCTCCCCCGTTTTAAGGCCTATAGAGATGTTTTTGTCGTAGGCGCAGTAGTCAGAGTTCTGCTGGCATTGTCTTGTTCCGCATCCCTAAGGGTCCATGTACCTAAACTGGGAATACTTGGGCCGTACTTGCTATTGAGGGACTTTGTGGCCCAAGTATATTATAATTAGGTACATGGACCCTTGGGGGATGTCCTTGATTTCTTACCCTAAACCCTAAACCCTAAACCCTAAACCCTAAACCCTAAACCCTAAACCCTAAACCCTAAACCCTAAACCCTAAACCCTAAACCCTAAACCCTAAACCCTAAACCCTAGCCCTAAACCCTAAACAAGGTGCTCCAGGATGACTTGCTTCCGACGGCACTGAAAGCGCATGACCCGTGGCTCGCATCCTTGGACGGAAGCTTAGAGTTTCGACCGACCAGGATGGGCTATTTTGGGCCTTAGAATCCCCAGAATCAAGCCTCTAAAGGTCCTTTTTGAGGGGTTTAGGGTTTAGGGTTTAGGGTTTAGGGTTTAGGGTTAGTTCAGTAGCTGTCGCCTTCGATGCCCGTGTCCATTAGTAACCTGTTCCTGGGTTCTGCAAGGAAGCGCAACAGTGTGCATTATTAAAATGTTTAGAATGATTCTCATTCTTAGTTCTTGTTTTGAGCATATCAATCTGTGTGCATTTGATTTTAAAATCTTTAGGATGGGCCGGGTTCATAGTATGATCATTATTCTTAGCTCTTGTTTTAAGCATATTATCGCCTCCTCGGGACCGGCTGAAGAGCCTGCCGCCAAGGCTCACTGGCATTTGAATGACCACCACCAGGCGATCATGAGTGCCAGGAGCTTGGTCTCCCGCGCGACCAGCGGCTGGCTGTACGTATCATATCTATACATGGGGGGTTTACGATAAGTACCTTAATGGTGTTCCTTTTATACGGGGATCCCACTATTTAGGGGTCAATTTTGGGAGTCCCCTATTTGCGTAAACCCCCACAAAACATGGATTTCCCTCCACCTCTCCGTTGTCGTTTGCAGCTGTAGATGCTATATACCCTAAACCCTAAACCCTAAACCCTAAACCCTAAAGCCTAAGTAGTGTGGACGACCGCAGGTCGCACGACCTTTCGGAAACCTGGAAGAAGGAGCTCAAGGCACTGGAAGAAACCAGGGCATGTTTGACTGTTTAGGGTTTAGGTTTTAGGGTTTAGGGTTGGGCTCAGAAGAGGGGTGGTTTGATGAGTGAGCGCTGTCTGGCTGCAGCTATGGCTGTCTGGACAGTGCAGTTCGGAAGTTCGACGGCCCGGGTTGCTCAGCGTCGTACGAAAGCCACGCGGTCGAAGCGAGAAATGAGAAGACGAGCAAGCGGCATCAGCAAAGCAAGGCTCCCGCAAAGCAGCATTCCAGAGCTCTCTGACCAAGCCGCACGGACGTGTTGCTTTTCGCAATCTTCCAGTCCATTGTCAAGGCTCGCGATCTTTGTTGTCAGGCGTTTCAGGCTATAGATACAAAGGTCGATGCGTCCACCAGCTCACCACGGTGGTACTCTCCTAAGCCCCGCAGCCTACAGGCTCGAATCTTGGCTTCGCAACCCTAGACAAGACACTTGGAGCCTGTTCCGATTTGCACATTGCTGCTTACCGAAGCACAGCGTATGGCGTTTGTGTCATGCTGACTGTGTGTTTGCACAGTAGTGCTACCGTCACTACGTAAAGTGTCTGTGGTGGGGTCACCGAAGCCTCGAGCAGTTCATGACCTTGCCCACGACATGCACAGGAGATGTGACACAACACACGTTTAGTGCGGAGCTCAGGTCTGAAGGAGTAAGTTTAAGCATGTTCTTTGAAGCGGCTGCCTTTTCTGTGTCAGGTGGTGGTGCTCTGCAACATTCTGGCTTCTCACCAGGAGAGCGGTGGTCCAATTTCAAAGACTGTAAGGATCTACTCCACGCAGCTGCAGGACTGCCACGCTTCCTGACGATGCTGCAGGCTTGTGGGAATTGCATGCTGCGCTTCGTTCGTGAGTTTGTGACAGAGAAAGCGGTCTTGAATCTCACTGGGAAAAGCGATCAGTGTCTCCCTTGGGCAGCCTTGGGATTGGAATTCTCTCACGCCTGTCAACAGGAAGCGCTCGCGAAACACAACGACACCTTCGTGTTGCCAGAGGCGGCACCGTTTGTGTGGAGTCAGACTTTGGGGATGGGTGGCGATGCCTTTGTCTGTTGAGAGCACTGCTCACTAAATCAGTTTCATGCCAATATCTGAAGTCAGTTGCAAGTCTTGGTCATGTCTCGACGAGAATGGCCAGTTCTCGCTCAGTTTGTTTGATCTGTCGACCGTAGCCCCATCACAAAATATTTTCGAGTTGCATTCTTAACTTGGTTTTAAGGGATTATAGGGTATAATGGTTCATTGTGGTACATATACAGGGCCTTTTAAGGGATTATAGGGTAGAGAACCCTGACGCAAGCGCATGGGCTTAGTGAAGCCGAGCTTTGGCTTCTCAAGCCGACTCAAGCCCTCGCTTGGCACATCACTTAGGGTTCAGGGTTTAGGGTTTAGGGTTTAGGGTTTAGGGTTTAGGGTTTAGGGTTTAGGGTTTAGGGTCAGACACTCAGTCTATCATGTGTCGCCTAGCGCTGCCTGCAAGGACAGCACAAGACGAGCACCCGGGGCAAGCGACACGTACTTTGGAAACTGCTAGCAGCCAGTAGCTGCTAGTAACCCTAAACCCTAAACCCTAAACCCATAGCACACTAACAAAAGCATGCTCACAGGCACAGCTGCTCTCCTAGCTGGCACCAGACATGACCCCAAGAAAACGAAGAATTTTGTCTGTTTCAGCCCACCCGCCCCTCCGTGATTCATGTGAGCAGATCAAGCATCTAAAGGCACGAACAGCAGGGACCACACTATGTTTTCCGTGTTGGCACCGCGTAAATGCACGGCCGTTTTGGCACCGTGTAACTAAATGCATGGCGAAAGTACGTGGCTCGTGAAGACGTTCATTTGCGACGAGCATGTTCAGATCAATACCCATGTCTGCCTGTTGTCTCGCCTTGCGAAAGACATGATGAACTGACGGGTACAGTATAGTTGTAACTATACTTCTATAACAATGAGGAACTGTACTTGAGGTAACTAAGGTCAATGGCTATCAATGGCGATGTTGCTGTCACGGATCGGTCCCGAATTGACGACAAGGCCCTTGTACTCTAGGCCTGCCAGGGCTCACTCGTCACTTAGGACTTCTTGTTCGCGAATGGCAAGACTGGTTAGGAAGTGTCTTTTCCTCCTACAAGCTGCGGGGTCTTCAAACTATCCCAACTGGCAGTCTTGCGCTTCGGATTGTGAGTTGAGAAGACCTCGATGACTATGAGAAACTGCGCGCAGGAGAGCATCCGGCATGTCAGCCCAGCACCCGGTCGTGCTCATCGGCATTGAAGTCTGATGAACCTGTGGGCGGTTCACGTGAACCCTTCTTCGGCACTCTTTGCAGCTCAAGCCTTACAAAAGAAGAACAGAGGCACAGAAAGCCGGAGCTTCAGCAATTCGCAGCCTACTACCAGGATGGGCTGTTCGACCTTAGAATCCCCATAATGAACCCTAAAAAGGGCCTTTTAAGGGATTATAGGGTATAATGGCTCATTGTGGTACATATAAAGGGCCTTTTAAGGGATTATAGGGTAGAGTAGCCCATCCTGGTACTCGAGTTTGTGAGCATTCGAGCGTCGGTCTGCGCGATGTGTGCCGACGGTGCTGCGCCAGCTGTGCCAGCTGGAGGCCCTGCCGGAGGCCCTGCACCCTGCATGAAAACTCGAGAGATGGAAGACTTGGCTGTGGCACTTCAAGACATCTTCTACTTAAACCACTTCCCTAACCCCTTCATGTTAGGGATACTTGGGAATAAGTTTTAATTTTGGGGTGCTATAATTCAATTCCTAAGAAACAGCTAAACTTGTGATTTTTGCTAGGGTTCCAGGTGCAGCTAAGTCATGACCTTACGAGTCTGGGCTTGCCTCTGCCTGGCAGGTGGCACTTCATGGGTTTAGGGTTTAGGCTTTAGGCTTTAGGCTTTAGGCTTTAGGCTTTAGGCTTTAGGCTTTAGGCTTTAGGCTTTAGGCTTTAGGCTTTAGGCTTTAGGGTACTTAAACCCAAAACTTCCCGGAGGTGGCGCTGCGATCCGGGGAGCTAGCCCAGGGCCTGCCGTGGTGCGTGAGCCGAGCCCAGGGCCATGCGAGGAGACCAGGCAAGGGTTTAGGGTTTAGGGTTTAGGGTTTAGGGTTTAGGGTTTAGGGTTTAGGGTTTAGGGTTTAGGGTTTAGGGTTTAGGGTTTAGGGTTTAGGGTTTAGGGTTTAGGGTTTAGGGTTTAGGGTTTAGGGTTTAGGGTTTAGGGTTTAGGGTTTAGGGTTTAGGGTTTAGGGTTTAGGGTTTAGGGTTGGGGTTTGGGGTTTGGGGTTTAGGGTTTAGAGGTTTAGACCAGGCAAAGCCCCTTCTTTGCGGCTGCGCTCGCCGTGATCAAGGCCCTCCACGTCAAGAGATACCAAGTGCATTTAAAGCTCACCTGTAGGTTCCCCTACTACCCCCTCTATACTACCCCCCTAGGTTCCCCCATAACTAAGGCTATTTCGAGATAATTATGCTTCATTAAGGTCATTTTAGGGGGACCACCGCTAGTTTCCGACTTCTTCTTGCCAGGGCGCCGCGGCGAAAGCGCTGGAGATCCCGCTGGCACTTACCACTGCACCCCGCCTGGAGTCAACAAGGTTTACCTTTGGTGATACAGCGGAGGTGTCTGTCTGTCTATCTATCCTAGGAAGCAGTGCTTGAAATCCTACACCCTAAACCCTAAACCCTAAATCCCAAACCCTAAACCCCAAACCCCCCAAGGAAGCAGTGAAGCCCTGCAATGACCTCTCGGGCCGGCTGACCTTCAACTCGGTGGAGACCTTCCCATCGAAGCCGCAGCGGACGAAGCTGCACCCTCAGCTTGAGATCTACCTGGGACCTCTATTTACATACAGTTTATGCCCTTAATTAGTAGGCATAACCCTTAAAAAACTGTAGGCAAAGAGGGCCCGGTAGCACCCTTAGGATTTTTTTATTTATATAAACTCAAGGGAACATTTAAACAACAACATGTTGATTTAAGGTTCTAAGGGGAGTATAGAGATACTGGCGGATATGGTATACTGGAGGTGTACATAAAAGGTACACTAGGGGTAAAAACAGCATTTTCTTTAGGGTTTAGGGTTTTCATTAGTGTGTATATCTGACTAAGGAAACAAATCACTATAGAAATAATATATATATATATATACAGACATATATTAATTTGTTTATATTTATACATACATATATATATATATACACACACTACTATCCGCACCGCGTGAAGCGAGTGCAGTCTGCTGAAGGTTTGAGAAGCTCGTGGCCGAGAAAGTCTCCGAAGATGCCGCCGTTAAGGTGTTCTCACTGCCTAAGGCGGCTTGCATCCCCCTCCAACCTGAAAACCTTAAAACTCCCCCCCCCCCCCCCCCCCCACCCCCCAATAATAATAACCCGAAAAAACCCTAAGCCATGTCGTACTTCGCTTAGCTTCTACCCCTAAGCCCTAAACCCTCAACTTTAAACCCTAACCCTAGACCCTAAACCCTAAACCCTAAACCCTAAGAGGGTCTCCGCGCCCTGTAAGGCCATGGCCAAGGACTGCCGGGGAGTTCGTTGTGGCCGGGGCTCAAAAACACCCACGGAAGCATATGGATCCCACTATTGAAGGTTTAGGGTTCAGGGTTTAGGGTTTAGATGGGTTTAGGGTTTAGGGTTTAGGGTGTATGGGCCCTTTTATAGCCATGTTTGTAGAATCCTTCTGCTTGTGTGGGAGCTTACGAAAATAAGGGAGCCCCTGCACTAGACCTCCCCAAATAGTAGGATCCCCTTGCATTAAGGGTACCTCTAATTTCGGAAACAGTCATGTGGTTTTTGGGGGCCCCCTACTGTGCAAGACGTCGAATATCGTTAAGGCCTTCATACGACCCTAAGCTGGGCAGGCCTAAGCCCTGAAAGCCCGACAATGGCTTAGGGTTTTGGGGGTTTTGGGGGTTTAGGGTTTTGGGGTTTTAGGATTTAGGGTGTTGGGGTTTTAGGATTTGGAGTTTTGGGGTTTTAGGGTTTTTGGATTTAGGGTTGAGGGTTGTATGGTTTTACGGTTCACGGTTTTAGGGTTTAGGGTGCGCTCTTGCCACATCTGCACATGACAGGAGCTTTATGGCAGCACATTCTGCAGCGTGGACCGGCCAGAGGAAGAGCTCTCAGATCCGGTCCAGCTCATCAGCTGCTGGGGCAGAAGATGAAGATATGGGGGGGGGGGGGTTTACGAAAAAAGGTGACCCCAAATATAAACCCCCACACAGCAGGATTCCCTCATTATAAGGACCCCAAAAGGGTACCCCTAGTATCGTAGACCCCATATATCACAAGAAGCTTGAATTCCTAGTGAGTACCAATTAAATGGTGAGTTCTCTAAACTCTGGTCCCTCTTTAGGGTACCCTGAATATGAAAGGCCGCCTTCTACAAGTAACCCCAAAAAGGATCCTGTTTCGGGAGAAGTGACCAAATGGAGTGGTTCAAGAAGATGTTTTGCAGGCAAGAAGGATCCCGGGAAAAAATGCCCGTGGCCTGTCATAAAATCAGACTATGCTGAATCTCTAAACCTCAACAAAAGCAGGAACAACCCCCTCCCCCCCCCCCCCCCCCCCCTCCCCCCCAAACCCTAACCCTAAACCCTAAACCCTAGAACCTCTACCCGAAAACCTCTACCCTAAGCGAAACCCTAAAACCCTCCACGAAGCCCCCTCCACACCCCCCCACCCCGAAATCTCGAGGCTTATCAGACTGGTGCCTTGAAGTTGCAGACTTCCCGGTGGTGAAGTCCACGAGGGAACTGGGCCGCCTCGCCACCTGGCCATGTGTTTTAGGGGAGAGGGTTTGCGATTTGGGGTTTGGGGTTTGGGGTTTGGGGTTTAAGGTTTAGGGTTTAGGGTTTAGGGTTTAGGGTTTAGAGTGTGGGGTTTAGTGGTCTTTTTCGGGTGCACAACTCCCAAGTGCCAGTGACAAGGAGCTGACTGGATTCAAGCACCGGAACGAGAAGGACAGACGCGGGGGGGAGACACCCTGCCCAGAGGGTCCAGCTGTTTTTTTTTTTTATCATCTGCACCTTTGCTTGGGGAGTACCCTGAGTCCAGACCCACTGCCACACTTCAGGGTTTAGGGTTTAAGGTGTAGGGTGTAGGGTTTCCTGAACCAAAATCTTGGCTCTTCTTCAGGAACTCAAACTAAAGAAAGCTACAGCAGAGCATACAAGGCCCTCTTTCTGGCAAAAACCCTCATCCTTCCCAGCCTTGAACCCAGAAAACCCTAAACCCTAAACCCTAAACCCCTAAACCCCTAAACCCCTAAACCCCTAAACCCCTAAACCCCTAAACCCCTAAACCCCTAAACCCCAAACCCTAAACGTCCATGTGTGGAGCTCTGCCAGTTCAGCGGTGCAGCTCTCAAAACATCAAACTCACAGCAGTTGCTCCCGGAGAGCTGTTGTTCTACTAGTACGATGGCAAACGAGCAGGAAACGAGGGAACGAGGGAAGGCAGCAAAACCCTAAAACCCTAAAGCCCCAAAACCCTAAAACCCTCAAACCCTCAAACCCTAAACCCTAAACCCTGCGGCGCCAACTTGTTGAGATGTGCACTCGGTGTACAAATTCCCTGTGCAGGGTCACTTCGAGGTCAGCTTCAAGATCCATCCGCCAGGTGCAGCCTCTCAGACCCTAAACCCGAAACCCTAAACCCTAAACCCTAAACCCTAAACCCTAACCCCCAAACCCCAAACCCTAAACCCTAAACCCTAAACCGTTCATGCCCCCATGGTCAAGCATGGTCATGTCAGGTACAGATCCGTTGCTGGCGGAGGCGCTCGCCAGACCAACCGAAGGGCCACGCCTTAAAGCCATACGATTTGGCCATGATGCGTGTGACTTGTGGCAGGTGTCTGAAGCTGCGCCGCCAGCCTTGGCTGAGCTTCTGCCCACTGCGGCTGCAGGTTTCTGATGCTCCGCTGCCAGCCTTTAGCGGCAGCTTCTGCCCGCGGCGGCTAAAGCTAGATCCCCAAACCTTAAACCCTAAACCCTAAACCCTAAACCCTAAACCATCCAATGCTTGCGTTGCAAGTTTGCAGCCGGCGCTGCGACAGTCCATTGTGCAGGGTACAGAGGTCGCTGCGCGGCTGCGCGGCAGGTTCACCAAACATACCCTAAGGGTCCATGTACCTACATAGTACATATTTTGTCCCTGAAGCTACTATATGGGAACCCCTTTAAGGCACGGGAAGTGTGCTGGTGAGCTCGTGCAGCGGTGATACTCAGCTTAAAAAAGTATATTGCGGCTGCTTGCCCAGAGGATCAGTTTTTGTTGTTAGGAGACTGTTTCAGCAGCATACGTGGCTCGTATATATCCTAGTAGTATATACCCCCCAGGGGTTTTATGCAGTTTCACCCTGAACCCTAAACCCTAAACCCTAAACCCTAAACCCTAAACCTCTGCATTGGCTCAAAGGGCTGATGCCTGAAACGCATCCTCCCTGCGTGCGCCCTACATGCCTCGGGACGAGCCGCATGGCTTTATGGGCTTCTTATGGCTTTATAGCTTAGAGGTTTAGGGTTTAGGGTTTAGGGTTTAGGGTTTAGGGTTTAGGGTTTAGGGTTTAGGGTTTAGCTCTTAAGTCCCTTAAGAAGGGCTCCGTGCCGAGCCGTGGCGCAGCCAAGGCAGCTCCCGTGGGACCATGTCCCAGCACGGCTTAGTCCCCAGGAGGCTACTGAGCTGATCCTGCAGCACATCGAGAAAGGCCAAGACCCCAGACATCCATGTAAACCCTAAACCCGAAACCCTAAACCCTAAACCCTAAACCGTGGCAGCAACCATCATGGCACCAGCAAACGATATCCTCCTTGGGAATTATTTTTCATTTTTGTTTATATAAAACCCAAGAGGGTATTGAACAGATTGTTTTTATTAAGGGGAGAACAGCAAATACGTAAATGATAGTTATAAAGAGATTCTTCCTTGTAAGGGTAGTATAGGGTCTTCCATTTTTGGGCGGTTCTTAAGGAAATAGTAGGTATCACAATGATAACGGTAATGATCGTATTCTATATAAAATGATACCCCCTGTTCCACCTCCCTTTGCGGACGCTGCGGGCTCAAACCCTAAACCCCCAACCCTGAAAAAGAGGCATTTACGTGTACCCTTGAAGCTCTGGATCATGGGCGTCTTGGTACCCTAAGCCAGAATGCAAGAACACACAACAGTACACCCAAAAGGATTAAGAATCAGGTCCATCCACACATTTCATTTTAGGGTCTAGGGTTGATGTTCGCGGGCTGAAGCCTCCGCGGAATCAGGTACCGCAATTCGAGGTTTGGGTATCTGCTGGCTGGCCCACAACAGCTTGGAGTGGCTTATCTACATGCGTACATGTGTGTATACAAGCATACTGAGGCCAAGTGTTTGCCAAGAATGTCGTCTCCAAAGCAGACAAGGCAGATTTGAGGAGCAGCTCGTGTTTTTGTCGATCGCGTACATTGCTGCTTTGCTTGACAGCCGTGCGAGACAAGCGCTTTGGCATCACGCAGGAAGTACGAGAAAAAGGCAGTCAAGCAATTTGACAAGATGCTTGGGGCTTAGTCTGCTGCATCATGCAGAGCTCGGGCGTGGGTTTAAAGGGCTCGGTTTCTGGCTAAACTCAACCTGCTTAAATGCGCAGCACTGATTACTCAGAGCTGTGTCACCAAACCCTAGCTTAACCCTAACTTAAACCCTTAATTTAAACCCTAAGTAAACCCTAATTCTTCCCTAATGTGCACGCTCTCCAGCTGGCGAGGTCAAAGTTGCCAAAGCGGCGTTCTGCACCGGACCTCCACGCGATCCCCTCCCCAACGGCCCACGCGCGCCATTCAGGAGGGCTGCAGGGTTTAGGGTTTAGGGTTTGGGGTTTCGGGGTTTCGGGGTTTCGGGGCTTCGGGGTTTCGGGGTTGGGCCATCCATGCAATGATGGGAAGCTGGTGCATCTTTGTGGCGAAGCTTGGAAGGAGGCGTGATGTCAATGTCGAACTCCTCCTCGTCCTTTCAAAGGCCCTTCGTTTGCACGACGGGTTTTCTGGGTCCTTGTCAGCCATAATTCTACATGTTTGTCGTATTAAATTCCCCATAAGGAGTAAAAACGAGAATTTTTCATATACCCGCAACAGTGACGCTGTTTTGGGTTTGGGGTTTAAGGTTGCTTGCAGCAACCCAGAGCCCAAGCCACGCATCACCCGGAAGCGCCAGAAGGCAGCCGAGCTCGGCTCTTTGTTGGTCATTTTCCTGCATTGTGTTGGGTTTAGGGTTTTGGGTTTTGGGTTTTGGGTTTTGGGTTTTGGGTTTTGGGTTTTGGGTTTTGGGTTTTGGGTTTTGGGTTTAGGTTGGGGGGGCGGGGGGGCGGGCCCTGCAAGCTCCTTGGCGGAAGGCCCAACTTTCAACGCGGCTTCGGTGTTTCCAAGAGACCGCCCATTTACGTTGCGCGGCCGCATTGCCACACAAAGTCTGCAGTGTGTGCACCAACCTGACATGTGCTGCGCGTCTTTAGGGCTTTAAGGCTTTTGAGCTTTTGGGCTTTTGGGCTTTTGGGTGTAGGGTTTAATTAGGGTTCAGGGTTTAGGGTTTAAGGTTTAAGGGCATTATTTAGGGCTTTAGGGCGTTATAGGGCTTTAGGGTATCAGCTCTCGCGGGCAAGGCTGGCATAGACAACGACCTCAGTCCAGGTGAGCTGGGACCTGAGATGAGCTGACGGCCGCAAGTCCACCAGGTGTCAGGGTTAAACCCTACTAAACCCTACTAAACCCTACTAAACCCTACTAAATCCTACTAAACCCTACTAAACCATACTAAACCCTAAACCCTAATTAAACCCTAAACCCAGGTACGACACTCATCTTGTCGGGGCCATGGTCTGGGAGAAGGAGATCGGCCTTTCACACCCAGCTCAGAAGCAGTTTTTCAGACGCATTATGTCATTTTGTGAAAGAACACACACTACTGATTTCTGAACTAGGGTTTGTGCCTCACGATCTGTGGGAGAAAGATGAAGGCAACTGATGTGATTTGAAGACCCGTCCGTACACTCTTATGGAGGCTTGCTTCTCACAAATCGCCCCCGCTCGTCACCTTTACTCAGCAGAAGGGCATCGGCCACAAGCTCAATTTGGAATGCAGCTTGTTGCATAGGGCCGTGGCTAGTGCATGAAAATGGGCACGAATCAGTCCTATTGCTGCAGGTCTGGCACAGGCGAAAATTACCGGTGCACCCGGTCCAGGCCACTACAAGGCCCCTGACTACTGGGATGCCAGCTGGTATCTTGGCAAAAGCTTGCGCACGACGCAGAAGAGCTTTCCATATAGGGTCCCCTGGTGCCGACACGACCAGATGGCCGCCTAAACCCGAAACCCTAAACCCTAAACCCTAAACCCTACATCCTAAACCCTAAACCCTAAACCCTAAACCCTAAACCCCCTCAAAAAAAAAGAGAGAGAGCTGAGGCAGCATCACCCGCCAGCTGGAACCAGCTTTGCCAGAACACCACCTGAACCTGGAGACTCACGGTCTCCTGATGCCCAAAACTGGGGTTTAGGGTTTAGGGTTTAGGGTTTAGGGTTTAGGGTTTAGGGTTTGGGGTTTGGGGTTTAGGGTTTAGGGTTTTGGGTTTTGGGTTTAGGGTCGTGGGCCTCCTGATGCCCAAAACTGCAGTTGAGGGTTTGTAGGGTTCGCTAGGGTGTTTTGAGAGCTGTTTTCGGGGGGTCTAGGGCTTAGGGCTTTGGGCTTAGGGGATTTAGGGTTTAGGGCTTAGGGCTTAGGGCTTCGGATTTAGGGTTTAGGGTTTAGGGCTTACAAGTTTAGGGTTAAGGGTTTAGGATTTAGGTGGAAGAAGCTGATGCCCAGAAACGTCCCCCGGCGAGGTTTGGTGGACTGGCCAGGGGCATCCTGAAGAACTGACTGGCCAAGGGGGGCATCCTGAAGAACTTAGGGTTTAGGGTTTGTAGGGTTTAGGGTTTGTAGGGTTTGTAGGGTTTGTAGGGTTTGTAGGGTTTGTACTGTTTGTAGGGTTTGTACTGTTTGTAGGGTTTGTAGGGTTTGTAGGGTTTGTAGGGTTTGTAGGGTTTTTAGGGTTTTTAGGGTTTAGGGTTTAGGGTCCTGAAGAACTGAAGCTTAAGAAACAGGAGCCTCACAGTTCCGGACATCTCAGCAGACCTTGCCAAGCAAAGTCTGATGCAAGTGCACGAGAGAAATGGCGCGGTGCTTGCTCCCGGCCGCTGAACACGTGGGACGGCTTTGTCTTGCCTTGTACTGACGGTGTAGGGTTTAGGGTTTAGGGTTTAGGGTTTAGGGTTTAGGGTTAACCCTAAACCCGAAGCCTGTCGTGGCTCCCAGGTTCGCTGGCGGCCATGTCACGAGCGTATCTTTGCAGGAGGCACGGTTGAAAGTCGGTCTATGCAACCCTAAACCCTACACCCTGAACCCTGAACCCTAAACCCTAAACCCTAAACCCTTTTGCAAAATATCAAAGTAATGAACGGGTCCCAATATATTAATGTAACGTCGTAATACCATGATAAAGAACGAGTATAGCAACATCAATAGTATAGAATATATTGATAGAAACAGCAAAACAATGTAGAATTAAACTAGTACAATACTATGTTCATACAAGCAAGATAACAATACTGTAGTATACAATAGAGCACAATAGCAATACAAGATTATGGTAATTGAATAAAACTGGAATAATAGTACTATACGAAAAAGAACACATCAGTAATACAGTACTAGGGTCATATCCCTAAACCCTGAACCCTAAACCCTGAACCCTAAACCCTAAATACTGCGGGACTGAAGGTTGCAGCCCTGATCGATGCTTGGCAGGCAGCCCCTGCTGGCTTTGCCTCCGCCCGACTCACGAGAGGCCACGATATCTGATACTTTTCGAAAGCGCATTTTAGCGTTTAGGGTTTAGGGTTTGGGGTTTGGGGTTTAGGGTTTCGGGTTTGTAGTCTTGCGTCTTGTGTATTCTTGCGAAAGCTCATGTTTCGCATGGAAGCTGCAGGGCAGCAATGCTTGAAGGTTCATGAGTGGTAATGGGCACGTGCATGCAGGGTTAGAAGTGTGGTGATTCGACCCACTGTTGCAATTACTCCCCAACCCCTAAACCCATCCTAAACCCCACACCCTAAACCCTATACTGTAAAACCCTAAACCCTGAACCTGAGGCCCTCCCCTGGCGCACAGCTGTCGCGCTGGCCCGCGCCCTCATCGCCCTCCACTGCCGGCGCCTCAGGTGGTCCCTGGCTCCTTGGGTTGAGGGTGTGAAGCAGCCAGGGTGAAAGCCTACAACAAGGGTTTAGGAGTTTCTTAGGGCTTTAGGGTTTAGGGTATACGGTTTAGGGTTTAGGGTTTAGGGTTTAGGGTTTAGGGTTTAGGGTTTAGGGGGAGTGCCCCACACCCTGCCCATCAACCTAAGCCGAAGCTTTCTGGAGACCTCAGGCAGTGGGGGACAGGCTCTGACTCGACCCGATGGCAAAAGCACCCTGACACCCGTCGTGGAGGCGAACTCGCTGAGGATCTTTGCGCATACTGTACTTTACATGCACCTCGACACTCCTACTGTCTAAAGTTTTATGGATAGACGTGTTGTTGACTTGGGGCCATACATACAGAAATCCAAAATATATTATTTTTTAAGCGGACATGTATGTATGTATGTATGTATGTATGTATGTATGTATGTATGTATGTATGTATGTATGTATGTATGTATGTATGTATGTATGTATGTATGTATGTCTGTGTGTCTGTAGGTGTGTATGTGTGTATGTGTGTATGTGTGTATATATATATACATACATATGATGTACCGACCCATATGTCACGTACGAGTGCGCGTGCGTGCATGCGTGTGCGTGAGTACGTGCGTGGGTGTGTGCGTGTGTTTGTCGGTCAGATGTTGTCGAAGCACCCTGGCAGGTCATGCGGACAAGGCGCACTGCACAATGACTGATGCACATGCACAAAGATTAACCCAGAGGGCCCATTTGTACTACCAATTGTGGAATTAGGTACCAAATAGGGTTTTGGGGTACTGGGTAAGTCTGAACAAAAACCGATCGCCACGGAAGCCAAATGTGTCCACGTCCATCCATGAAGCACCGCATCGCCTGAGATGTGCAGGCTGGGACTTGCTGGTTCGTTGATCCCATCTCTTCTGGAAGAGGTGCATGAATCGTGGAGGGCTCGTTGAGTAGCATCCATTCGTCCATATAGCGGCTAAGGTTTACGACCAGTACACCCTGTGCAGCTCCTGCTTAAGCCTACGCAACACGATAGCGACAAAAAACTGCAAGCACCTCTTGCCGCAGTGCTAGACTTGCTCCTAATACATGAGGTACAGTAGTTTAACGTTAAAACACCCATGTAGGGCAATTTTTCTGACGTTTAACAGAAACACCCCTAGAAGTTGGACCTCTGGAGTTTCTGGCAGGTCTATGACCAGGCAGCCTGCGAGGCCTGCAGCCAAGCACAAAGTGCCCAACGTACCATAGAGGCCTTCATAATTAGAGTAGGGTTTGGGGGGGGGGGGGGGGGGGGGGGGGGGGGGGGGGGGGGGGGGGGGGGGGCATTATAGTATAAATGTAGAGGGACCATAAGGGGGTAGAATTTTTTATATTCCGACCCCTATACTACCTGGACCTTCAGCTTTGCTGTCTTTTTGCTCGGCCCCATTCTGCTCTAGCTTTTCTGTGCAGACACTTTGTGATCAAGATGCTGCTTCAACAGTCATTCTGCCTCAGCGGTGACGTGAAAACGCTGTGCCACATGCGAAAGCCCATCCACCCACTACGCCCTGCCTAAGCACGAAGGGTTCATCTAACTCATGCCTTGAGACGCTGAAGCATCACAATTTGCTAAGCCCTAATTGAATTGTTAAAACTAAACCCTGATTCCTAAACCCTTCTTCTATCCATTTTCTGAAAACCCTCATAATTCGTATTGGTGGCCGAACAATCTGAACCCTTATTCCATCCATATTTTTTTGTTTGCCCTTGTTTTTCGTATTGGTGGCCTGACAACCTGCTTCCGATGCCCATGCCGAGGTCTTCGGGACCTTTTTTGTGAACTTTGTGGCCCCAGCCGGTCAGGCCATTCCCAGGTTTGTTAAAGGTTGGGGAGGGTTTAAGGTTTAGGGTTTAGGGTTTAGGGTTTAGGGCTTAGGGCTTAGGGTTCAACATGAATGAGGCACAACTGCCCTCTGGCCTGTCTCTGTTACGTGGCGCTGCGTTCGTGAGTGTCAGCCCACTTGCAGCAGCGTCATGGGTGCTGACATGTAACCCCAGGCAAGAAGGCCCTGCCCGGAAGTCTCTCACGTTGCGGCAGCAGGCAGGGTGATTTGTCCAGAATCTTGCTGGGAGTTTACGAAAATAGGCGACCCCTAAAATAGACCACCAAATAGGGGATTCCCTTATCATAAGGACCCCAATAAGGTACCCCCCCCAAGTATCGGAACCCCCCCCCCCCCCGCAGCTGGTGCTGTGTAAGCTGGGTTCCAGATGCCTGGGTGAAGGCGCTTCTGTCTGGTCCATGCCGCAGATGGCGACTCACGGCAGCACAGTGACACGGGGGGGGGGGGGTTTGTTCGAAATTAGAAGTTGGGTTTAGGGCTTATGGTTTATGGTTGAGGGTTGAGGGTTGGGATGTTCCCCCTTGTACTAACAGTCCTTAATCGGGATTCGAGTACCCCGGTATTCGAATCCCTATTGAGGACTGTTAGTACCCAAATTCGGGTGCCCAAAGGATCTCAACTTATGTAGAGCAACCCTGCATCACTGACTTCGTGTGACTTCTTCTCACCAAGTCCTCCACCAAAAACCGCGTTCTGATAGGCTGGCCGACAGCGAGTCGGGCATTTCGGAGATCTTCTCAGGCCGCTCTCCTTTAAGGTACGCACTCTCCTTGCAGGGCGGGTGGCAGTAATTGTAGGGTTTAGGGTTTAGGGTTTAGGGTTTATAGGGTTTAGGATTTGGGCTTAGGGTTTGGGGATGGCATCTGTGCCCTGGCAGGTGCAGGCAGCGGAGCGGGAGTGCCTCGACAGCCAAGTGACAATTGCTGCCAAAGAGAGACTTGTAACATGTACTTGTAGTAAATTACAGGGGCCAAAGGGCCCTTTTAACACCTTATAATGCGGGGGTTTTGGAGAAGATAGTACTTTAATGGCGAGTCCTTGAAGCAAATGCTGTTCTGGCTTGTCGCTGTCTTGGGGGCAGGAAGGTAGCTACATCAAGTGGGGCTTCGAGCAGCAGCTCTTTGCTTTCGTGTGCCTTGGACTTTTGAGAAGGGGCTGCCTGAATATGCTTGACAAAGTTGGAGCACTGGAAGATGTGCTATCACAGCTGTGGTTCAAGAATGGCAGGGCAGGCTTCGCCTGACCTACATGTACAACTTTGTGCAGCTCGCAGTGCACACAAGACTTGTTGTCCAGTACAGTGTGTGGGAGCGAGGAGGAGTGCTTTTGATTCGTGAGGTTCTTTGTGCTCTTTCCTTTCACGACGCTGTATCTCATCTTTTCTGGACGCCTGGGGTGGTGGCACCCTGGCAGCAGTTCTTCGTTGTAATGAGCCGTTCATATAGGCCACTGCAGGATGCTCACGGCATCAGGTGCTTCCAGCAGGTAGTATTTGTGTGTGTATACATATATATGTATATGTATATATATATATATATATATATATATATACACTCTCTGGGTGGGGGGGGGGGGGGGGGGGGGGGGTTGACTAATTATAGATATACATATATATATATATATAGATATATATATATATATATATAGATGCTCTTGTGCAGTATTAGAAGTCTACGCTGCGCATCCCACTTCTCTTGCACATCCGTGACATGAACGCGGTGTGAACCCGAGAGTAAAAGATGGATGCCAGCATCAGCGGCCGCGAATCCAAGGAACTACGACGAGGATGGCAAGGAACTGACTGCTGAGGCAAGTTGGTGTTTAGGGTCTAGGGTCTAGGGTCTAGGGTTTAGGGTTTAGGGTCTAGGGTCTAGGGTCTAGGGTCTAGGGTCTAGGGTTTAGGGTTTAGGGTTTAGGGTTTAGGGTAAAGCCCTGTCGGCCCCTGAAGCCCTTGAAATCCCTACAACACTCCTATAACCTTCGGGCCCGAATAGCATCCCCTAAGCCCTAAACCCTATACCCTAAACCCTAAACCCTAAACCCTAAACGGAAGCACAAGTCTGTCGAGGAGTACCGGAAAGTCAACAGCACGGAGAAGCCGACCTGGGGAAGATTTCCTTGGGAGTTGGAGAGCGACCTCTTCAAAAAGTAGTGAAGGGCTCAAGGTTTAGGGTTTAAGGTTTAGGGTTTAGGGTTTAGGGTTTAGGGCTCTGACTTTCTGAGCTCTGTCTAGGGAAGAATTCCCATGGCAGGGTCCGAAAATTGTGGCCATTCTTGTCTTTTTTCGAAGCCGGGCAACGTGAGACGGAGCTCGGTTCGATTTCGGACCAAAGACTTACGAGAACGGAGCAGGATGAGACTACAGTCAGCCCTAAACCCCAAAACCCCAAGCCCCAAACCCAAAACCCTAAACCCTAAGCCCTAAACCCTAAACCCTAAACCCTAAACCCTAAACCCTAAACCCTAAACCCTAAACCCTAAACCCTAAACCCTAAGCTGGTTGTTTGGGAGCATGTTGGTGAGGCACACCTCCTTGCCCCTGATTCTTTGACAGCCACAGTCACGCGCAGGCGACCAGCAACATGGATCCTTGGGAGGCCCGGCATGACAGATGTCAGTAGGGTTTAGGGTTTAGGGTGTAGGGTGTAGGGTGTCGGGTGTAGGGTGTCGGGTGTAGGGTGTAGGGTGTAGGGTGTCGGGTGTAGCGTGTAGGGTGTAGGGTGGTGGGCACTCCGTCCTGGCACCTCATTCTCCGACTGCTGTAGAGAACAGTGAACTCCGTCTAGTGTAGGGTGTAGGGTTTAGGGCCCAAAAAACCAGAAAGCATAAGGATCCTACTATTGGGGTATAAGGGGCCCTTGTAAGGGGGATGCTGGAAATCAGTGTTTGAGCAAACCCTTTTGTTTCATGTGGTTTTGAGGGCCTCCAACTTGTGAGCTGCAAAATGGCAAGAACGTGCGAACACGCAACAGGTACATGCATGTTCCATGGACACTTTTACTTCATGGAACCCGTTTCGCGATGTTGCAAGAAGTGCTTGGCCATCACATGCGAAGGGAGCTCGGGATGCTGAAGCCATGGTCTTCCACAATGCACCGTGCAGCTGTGCAGCCCCCCCCCCCCCTTCTGTGAGGCTTCTTGCCGTGTGGCTCAGTTCTACGCACCGCAGATGCGGCAGAGGCAGGTGATAGGTTTCCTGAAAGTCTGAGTCGTTGGGCATACTTAGGGTGTCCCCTGCGGCTTTGAGTTCCTAAACCCTAAACCCTCAACCCTCAACCCTAAACCCTAAACCCTAAACCCTGAACCCTAAACCCTAAACCCTGCGGCTTTGAGTTGTCTTGGCAGGATTGTAGACCTTCCCAAGGACTGGCGGTGCCAGCCTCAAGGGTGTGCATGAGACCAGGGGTTCGCCATCCATGACTCCATGCTGGGAGGATCATGGTACTTAATAGGGTTTAGGGTTTAGGGTATAGGGTTTAGGGTTAGGGTTTAGGGTTTAGGGCCAAGTTTAGGGCCCAATCATAGCTGTACTTATAACCCACTTATAGCCGTATAAAGGCACTTAAAAGGCTGATAAGTGAGTTATTAAGTACAGTTCTCATTGGGGTTATACGTGCCATGAACCTCCAAGTAGCGATGTTTGCAAGAGGGTGGTGGCGAGTGCGGGGCCGTCAGCACTTTGGCCTGGCCGGCATGTTGTGCAGGGCGTGCACTGTCATGTTGGCTTTGTTGGGTGTGGAACTTCAGATGCATCTGTTAGGGGGTTTAGGGTTTAGGGTTTGGGGTTTAAGGCATGGTCGCCAGGCTACTTCAGTGCCTCAGAGGCACTGCAGAAGGACTCAGACTCAGACAGCGACTTGTGACTTGTCGCGGAACATGTGTGGCAGTATGTGGCAATGGGAGCTGCCAGAGGAGGCCAAGACGGGGGCCTCTGCAAAAAGCTTCGTCGAATGAGCTCCTCCTATGCTCGACGGGCCTTGCGCCCAGTCCTGGCTGAGATGAGCCCACACTCCTGGCGCCAGAAGCACTTGCCCTCATGCACCTACCTCTCCCACGCCCTCACTCGTAGCGTAAAGAGGCTGGACCCTTAGGTTTCCACAGCTCTCTTGTGATTCAAGGCTTTGTCGGCCGACGAGCCCTCGTCATGCGCCTCCTTCCTCGCAGCTATAGCCTGGCGAATGCTGCCGCGTGCGCCGAGCAAATCTCAGCAAGTACTTTGCCCGAATTGCAACTCTTTCGAACCAGGCCTGCGGCACTTCTCCATGTCGAGAAGCGCGCCGCCGTTGGGCGCCATGCGCCTGCCTGAGCTTGAACAGCGGACTCATAGCTCTCAGCAAAACAACCCTGCCTGGACCCTGTGCGGGAATAGTCCTAAAACCCCAAACCCTAAACCCTAACTGAGCCCTGAACTCTAAACCCTAACCAAACCCCAAACCCGAAACCCTGCTTGCGTGTTTTCGGAAGACGCACACCGCTAGCATTGCGCTCAGGCACTTGGCAGCGCACATTGCGGGAGCCTCACCACCGGAAAAAGCAGCCGTAGGGGCGAAATTAGGGGTTTAGGGCTTAGGGTTTGGGCTTAGGGATAGAAGGCCCCCAAAATCCTAAGTCAACCAGATCACTCTTCAAAGCTAGGATGCCCAAAAAGGGGCCAGCATCTTGACAAATTAACCATATGGGGACGCCTAAGGTATGCGCCAGCTGCACCACGCGCAGCCCTCCTTCAGCCTGGATGGAGCGTCGCAGATATTGACCTTGTGAAAGTCTGTTGGCTCTCCTAAAAGCCAATCCGCAGAGCTCAGGGGTTTTAGGGGTTAGGGTTTAGGGGTTAGGGTTTAGGGATTAGGGTTTAAGGTTATCGAGTACAAGGATACTCTTGTAACCCTAAACCCTAAACCCTAAACCCTGAACCCTAAACCTTGGTATGTGACAGTTGCCAGTGAAGGAGACGGCGCCCCAAGCAGCGGAGCTCACTGGCGACATGCCTCTTGGCAGAGTTCTAGTATTTGCTTATAAGAACCCCAAGAGAATAAAGAAACGATAATCCCTATATTGCCCTTATATATTATATATATATATATATATTTTTTTTTTTTTTTTTGGGGGGGGGGGGTTCTTAAGCAATTAGTAGAGTTGCTTCGCGGTCTTGCTTCCTGAGCTGCCAGCTGCCATTCCTGATGCAGTTGATGCCTCGAACTGCCTGCCCCCTGGAACAGGTTTCATGTCGTCACCACGCTGGCACCTGCCCCAGATTTCAGCTGGACAAGTATCTCACGCGTAACGTCACACGTCCGCACACGTCACCGGACTCTCAATAAACTCAAGATTGTGGCCGCTGCAATGGAGTCTCTTTTGCTTGTCGCTCAAGAGAGGGCAGCCACATACGATGGTACGAGAGTGCTTATGTCGTCTGAAACAGCCGCGGGGAAGCATGGACTCGGCATCTCCCATCTGCTAGGTTGGCTCATGTGTCGTTCCTCTACACAAACTCAAACTTGCCAAAGACTACGACGCAGCACCGGAAGCTGAGAAGAAGGGACGACCGAGATGACCTTACCAACGCAACTCCAGATCTCGAACTGACACCTATCCATCGCTGATCTCCTGGACGAACATATGGAAAAAGCAAGAGACGCGACTGTTTCTTACATTCAAGTTCGAGTTAGACTCCTTCCCTTCCAACCCACAAGCACCGAACACTCGCCGAAGAGCGGTTTTTGGAACCCATGAAGACAAAATCCCCTGGTGTTGGATTTCAGTACACGAGTGGGCCTAAAAGGTTCATGGACAATTCATGCCACTGCGTAGTGTACATGTCCGTGACTTAGTTGATCCACTGGGGGCTGAGTATCTCAAGGCTAAACCCTAAACCCTAAACCCTAAATCCTAAACCCTAAGAACAAGCAAGGCAAGGAGAGCCAGGAGTCACGAGAGTTTTTTCGGGAAATGACGTGTGGGCCTGTGCAGCCCGGCTCCGAGACAGCATGGAAGAATGTGCTTTCCGGAAGCGATGCTCAACCGGCAAACGAGGTGTTTTAGGGGCTTCCCCAACCCCTAAACCTGGAGATGAAGTGTTTTAAGGGAAACGACAGGGGCTCCCCCATCCGGTGATCTCCGTTCCAGACCCGATCCAAGAGTACCTGTTGGACAAGGAGTCGGCCCTCGAGGACACACACCAGAAACCGCAAGAAATCGCGGAGCCAAAGGCCAAAGCCAAGTCGAGCTTCGAACAGGCGGCTGCAGCGAGGTCGAGTCCAATGCCGCGAAAGCCACGTGTGAATCTGAAAGGGTTTTTTTTAACCCTAAACCCTAAACCCTAATCACAGGATAGTGTCGGCTGAATCGGCGACCGAAGCGGAAGGTGACCGCAGCGGATTTTGCAAGGGCAGCAGAGGGGCCCTGTCGTTCTTCCTAAAGTTCGGTCGTTGAGTTTTCCTGCTTCAAAATGGTTCTTGAAACTTCCTATGGCCAGGGAACACTGACTTGGAAAACTTGAAAGACTTGATTTGGTGCGAAGTACTGATGTGCTATCAACTACACATTGCACTCGCAACGCCGATTGCTGTGCTTGGGTATTCCGATCAACAAAGCTATGACAAGTATAATCATTACTTACATATGTCATACCAGGGATGCATACAGTTAGCTTCTGCCATTGCTGCATTTGACAAAGAGCTGTTCCGGCTGCCTTGGCTAGCAAAACGATTGCCAGACCACAGCCTCGCAGAGCCTTGCACAGCGCAGCCTTCCGGTCAAGGGACTCTCACTTGGACCCCTAAGGTGGTACCCTTGAGGGGTTTAGGGTTTAGGGTTTAGGGTTTTACGGTTGTACAGTATCAGGGCCACATGCGGAGTGGATTAAAGGGAGCCTTTAGGTGTGCAACCTGAAGCCCTTGAACCGGCCCGGGAGCCTAAGGTGCTTGTTCTGGTCCTGCTGCTGTCGCTCCGCCGCCTCACGGCGAGTTGTGGCTTATGGCCACTTCTGCAGGCATCCGCAATCATGGGGATTTTCTTAGTCGCATGATGCCCGTCACATGGCATCATACAGCCAGGAAAACTGAGCAGCCCCCTTGACAAATGTTTTTGGCACCTGACAGCATCAGCTATATAAAAAAATCGGCCTTAAGGGCTACTACGTACGGGGATATCGATATAGGGAAAAACCACAATCTTTGGTCGTCTTGATCCCGGTGAGCACTAAGCTTCAACCCTACCTGGGACGCTCTTTACCTGCAGTTTTATGGGTTGCACCTACTAATGAAGGGGTAGTTACGACCAAACTGTAGGTAAAGGGAGTCCCAGGTAGAAACCCTAAACCCTGAACCCTAAACCCTAAACCCTAGACCCTAAACCCTAAACCATGATCTTCAGGACGACTTTGATGCTCCCGCCGGGGAGGCTTGGAGGATGCCAGAGGCTTCTTGGAGTTGTCGCAGCATATGGGTATTTCCAACAATAGAGGGTACCCCTTCTATACCAGGTTCCGGTAAAGAGAATCGGAAACCCCCATATTGGGTTGGAGAGGGGGGGGGAGAGGAGGGGAGGGGGGAGGGAGGGGAGGGGGGGGGGGGGGGGGGGGGGGGGGGGGGGGGGGGGGGGGGGGGGGGGGGGGGGGGGGGGGGGGGGGGGGGGGGGGGGGCGCGACTTCGTGGTACCTTGAACGAAGCATAATTAGACTAGACTCAGTAAAACACCCAAGAGTTTTCATGCCATAGCTTTGGATTCTAGATCGCCCTAAACCCTGAACCCTAAACCCTAAGCCGTAAACCCTAAACCCTAAACCCTAAACCCTAAACCCTAAACCCTACGTGAGCAGTTGTCAGGCAGAGATGGACGAGCCAGGAGGTGCACTTTCAGCGGTTCAGGGTTTTAGGGTTCAAGGGCTGGGATGTTTCCCGTTAAACCCTAAACCCTAAACCCTCGGTTTAGGGTTTAGGGTTTAGGGTTTAGGGTTTAGGGTTTATTCTAGCAGTCCTTGGTATATAATCCCTATCAAGGACTGTGAGTATAAGGGAGAACATTCCCAAGTTCAGGGCTGATAAAGGAAGGCCAGCGTCTGCTGGAGCAGTCTAGCAAAGCTTGGACCAAGATTCAAGGGACTAAAGGAGGGACCCTTATAAGGGACCTTAGGGGTTATTTAGGGGCTACTTAGGTATGTAGGTGACTCAATAAGGTATATATAGGGTTTAACATAAGGGAATAAGATTAAGGGTCCCTTCTAGGGGGTCCCTCGTTCTACCCCTGAAAAGATTCGGCTCTTTGGCTTTCAGTCTGCCGGTCGGGGATGGCTCGAGACAGGCAGAACAAGTTTGAGGCACCAGGGCCTGGAAGTGAGACATAGCAGATCACGACACATGGCAAGAATAGACGAGCTAAGGCAGCTTTCGAAGCAGGTGGAGACATGTTCTGAACATGTAGTCGTGGAGGTCCTCTGCATTTTTCAGCTGCATGGAAACAGACGATGTTGCGTAGGAGCCGATTTTGTTCCGCCCTCGCTGCCCTATGAAGCTTCCGGACGGAGTTCGACTGGAATGGCACAAGGAGCCTCTTGCTGTAGTCTTCAAGCCCAGCGACTTCCCAGTGGTTGGAGACAGTCACTCCCTCACAGTGTGGGCGTCGCAGGCGCTCGGTGGCAAATGGGAGATTGTCTCAGCTGCTGCGGATGTGCCTGCAGGCCTAGTGCTGTTGGCTCGGGCTGGAAGTGGGAAGAAGGTGGTCAGAGGGACCTACGCTCTTCTTCTCACGGCCAAAGAAACAGCCGAAGACTTCGCTGCGCATGTAGAAGAGGCACTGGAGCTGTTTGGGGGTCCAGATCAAGAAGCCAGGCTTGTGACAAGCACACCTTCGGGACATTTTGGCCACATCGCTGTTGTGGAAATCGATTGCTGCCTGAGTGGTCCCAGCGCGCTGACCCCGCTCGATGCTGTCTTGGCGGTGCAGGAGCTGGGCTTTGCTGTTCTTCGAATCGGCAAGGGACGGAGCCGTGGCGTTGTTGATCCTCACGCCCAAGCTCAAGAAAGAAGTCACTAGGCAGGCCCTTAAGGGGCTTTTTCTGGATTATATTTACGAGTCATGTTTAGGAATATTTTTCCCTTATTGGGTTGAAGAGGATGATATTGCAGGAACCCTTTTCAGAGGGTTTTGAAGCCCTTGGGATATTTTTCCTTTTTCCCTTATTGGGTTTAAGAGGACCATATAAACCCTAAACCCTAAACCCTAAACCCTAAACCCTAAACCCTAAACCCTAAACCCTTTTCAGAGGGTTTCTAAGGGCCATCCGAGGTCAGGCAGATGTGTTTGCCGGGACCTGCGTCGAGGCAGTGCGCCTCGATGCTGGTTCACCCGTCCGGCGCGAGCTTGCTTCGAAACTTACTGTTGGTTTGTAGGGAATGATTTAGGGTTTAGGGTTTAGGGTTTAGGGTTTAGGGTGAGAGAATGAGGTACCCTGCGTAATCCCTTAAAGGGTATATATGTAGGGGGATCTTGGGTACCTTCTTCCCTCAACTCAGCAACAGTAAGGAAATGGTCCAGCTTCTTAGCTGTAGAGCGCAGTCTCGCCGCACAAAGGGTGCAGCAAGAGACGGTGGATTTTTGTGGCCTGTGCCTGATGGTCCCATCGGAGCAGCTTCGGCCCAGGAAGTCGTCTGCTCCTTTGGTCCATGCGGCGATCGACTGCATCAAGTCCCAGGCAGAGAGCTCGGTTCTCGACCTGGGAGTGGGCTGTGGCGCTTCTTGCTGTTGGTTAGTAGGGCATGGGGGAATGAGGTGCAGTACCCCTATGTAATCCCTTAAAGGGTATATAGGGGATATTTGGTGCCTTATTCCCCCTTGCCCTGCTAGCCAACAGTCAGGCTTTGCTGCTCGCTGTCCTCGCCGGAGCCAAGGCTCCAAAAGCGCAGGGAACAGGGGTGGATATCGATGAAGGTGCCATCGCAGCGTGCCAGGCCAATGCAGCACGCGTGTTGCCTGCAAGCAAGGCTGATGGATTGACGACCCTGTGTGCTGATTTTACGAAGTTGGACTCTCCGGAAGTGCGCCAGGAGCTGCAGCCAGAGGGATACGATGTTACTGGGTTGTGCTTTGGAAAATGTTTTAAATCTCCCTTCTTTCCTGCTAAGGGAACCTGTTCATAAATGCTGAAATACTTCTCAAAGGGTTTAGAGCACAACTCAGGTTATCATCTGCAACCCGCCATACAGGTCTTTGGCGCAGCAGGAGGCTTACAACCAAGCCTCGGGTCAGCACGGAGGATACGAAGAGCACGAGAACCTTGGCGGGAGCAAATGCTAACAACAAGGCTGTAGCGTCCATATATACCATAATATTTACCTTAATACCTTAATACAGATGATCATAGCCGAGGGTATATGACCCCTCAAAAGGCTCTACTATGGTCCATATGACCGTAATAAGGGATTATCATAGCCTAGGGTAAATGGCCCCTACAATCCTATGTTATGGTCCATATGACCTTAACCATGGATCATCATACAGGGTATGTGACCCCAATTACGCAGGTTGCATGGTGGTCCCCAGAACTACTATTGGCTTAAGAACCCCACATTTAAAGAATCCTCCTTATAAGGGCAATGAAGGGATTACTATAATATATATATATATATCAGAGGGCAATATATAAAGGATTACGATTATATATATATATATATATACATATTCATTTTTCCTTTTTTTTTGAGGGGGAGGGGGGGGGGGGGGTTCTTTGGCAAATAGTAGATGAGGAAGACCTTGGTTGCGGGGGAGACCGGTCTTGAGATGTACGAGGCGATCGCCAGATGCCTCCTGCGAGACCTGGACAATGCGCAGCAGCGGCTCCTGGCGCCCCCGGGCCCGATCCTGCAGCTGGGCTTCAAGGGGTTTAGGGTTTAGGGTTTAGGGTTAGGGTGAAAGGGGGGGGGGGATTTCGGGGGATATTGTTCAGAGGGGCGGGGTTTGGGGGTGCTGTTCGGAGGGTTAGGGGTTTCGGGCTTGAAGAGGGGGTTTTGGGACTACTGTTCAGAGGGTTTAGGATTTAGGGGTTTGGGGGTTTAGGGGTGTAGGGGTATTTGGGATATGCTTTCAGTTCTTTCCACCCCCTTTTTTCCGGCGGGGGAGGTGGGGGGGGGTAGGAGGATCCCATTTCGGGCCTGAAACCCCAAACCCCAAACCCCTAAACTTTTTGTTTATTTTTTGTATTCTCAGAGGATTTCCTCTGGTGCCATCCGAGGAAGCTGGATGGGTCTTTGATCTTCCAGGTTGGGTGGGTGTTAAAAATCATGGTCCCTTTTTGGGGTACCCTAAATACTAGGTGCCGTAGTACATTTAGGGACACAAAAACGGTTTAGGGTTTAGGGTTTAGGGTTTCGGGTTTAGGGTTTAGGGTTTAAGGGTTTAGGGTTTAGGGTTTAGGGTTTAGGGTTTAGGGTTTAGGGTTTTGACAACCAGCTAGGTGGAGGCTGGAAGCTTTGGGCGGCTCGGGGGAGTGGCCAAGCGTGTGGCTGCGGCGGTTCAGAAAGCATCCGAAGGAAAGTTCCTTGGGGACGAGTTTAGGGTTTAGGGTTTAGGGTTTAGGGTTTAGGGTTTAGGGTTTAGGGTTTAGGGTTTAGGGTTTAGGGTTTAGGGTTTAGGGTTTAGGGACGACATGAGGCCCCCAAAAGGGCTTGTAGCCCGAAGATAGCCTAGGGTAGATGTTCCCCAATTGTGGGGTTCATTTGGTCCCTAAGGTTGAAGTTCCAGAGGGTCATCCTGGATGAGAAGCAGCTGGAGCGTGGCATTCTGCTGAAGTGGTCCTGGTGCAGCTGAGAGAGCTGCTGACGCCATGCTGGTCCTGCAACACCACTGCAAGGTGGAGGCATGCTCTCTATTCCGAGAGTCGACGTCTGCGGGCTGCTTGGACCTCCGGTGGCTCCGGAGTTGGTGCAAGATGCTGACAAGGCAGCGCCGCGCAGGATCTGGCAGCCCCAAGTCGGGACGATGTGCGCCAACCCCAGCAAGCCGTGCTGCCGGGAGGGCGACGACATGGATCTGAGAGCGTAAAATCGGGCACGACTTGGTGTACCTTGGGGTACCGCTTCTTGAAGGGCCAGCGATCTCTGCGACATGAAAGGCTCAGAACTCAGCAAGAATCATCCCTAAACCCTTAACCCTAAACCCTAGACCCTAGACCCTAAACCCTAAACCCTAAACCCTAAACCCTAAACCCTAAACCCTAAACCCTAACCCTAAACCCTAAACCCTTAAAAGATGCAGGTCAAGTGCCACCAGACTGGGAGCCGCTTCTATGGCAGGCGTGGTGCTTGCAGCCGAACATGTCTTGCACAAGTGAGTTCTACCTGCTGTTTTGTACCAGACATGCTCAGATACGGAGAGAGCATCATAATGCATCGGAGAGCCTCAGAGACATGATATTTATATATATATATAGAGATGTATATATATATATGTGGTTCTATATATACATACATATTAAAACGTTTCTGTATATGACTTCATGCTTGCAGGGCTTCCGCGTCCTCCTTGAGCAGTTAAAGGTCTGGCCCTCAGGTCCCATCCTCGGCCTTGGCGCGAAGTGGCTCCCCCCCAACTGCAGGGAAGCTCGCATGAGCAGCGGCGCTTGCTGCGCAGCGGTGCGCTGCCGAAGCTCAACGGCAATGAGCAGAGGGAGGATTTTTTTTGAGGAATTTCCGGATTTTCAGGAGGTTTCGGGGCCGAGCAGGGGTCGGGGTGTAGGGCTGCAAGAAAGAGTCTTGAAGCGCGCAGTCGTACAACTTGAGGCGATCCTATGCGACCCTGAGTGACACTAGCTTCAGCGAACAGACAGGGCCCGACTCCTTGCCCTTCGTCAATGAGTCCCAAAGGCTGGGTGATGAGTGGTAAGTGTGTGGCAGTTGGCCGAACCCCCGAAGCCCCAGGCCCTAGGCCCTAAGCCCTAAAACCCTAAGCCCTCAATCCGAATCAGTCGGAGAACTTCCGAGGTCCATGGTTGCCACCCTGTTCTTGGAGAGAAGCACACCGGAGGTGGGACCTGAGAAGCTTGCTGCTTATTGCTAGAATTGGCCCCTCTTTGGTAGCCCTAAACCCTGAACCCTAAACCTTAAACCCTAAACCCTAGGTAGCATTCAGCTGATGCGACAAGGCAGCTGCGGCCGCGAAGGATGTTGCCTTGGCTGCTGGTGCGCTGGGGTCGTGCCCCTACGAAACCAGCGATGCTAGGAACACGGGAGGTTTAGGGTTTAGGGTTTAGGGTTTAGGGTTTAGGGTTTAGGGTTTAGGGTTTAGGGTTGATCAAATCCAAGGCAGGGAACCTCGTCGCCACGCCCGGGGTCATCTGGATCCGTCGGGCCCCCTGAGGCATCGTCTTTGAGGCATCACTTTCTGTTAGGGTTTAGGGTTTAGGGTTTAGAGTTTAGGGTTTAGGGTTTAGGGTTCACTTGGGATGCTCCCCCTTATTTTAACAGCCCGTAGTAGGGATTCTAGAACCCCCTACTATGATCCTATTAAGGACTGTTAGTATAAGCGGGAACCATGCCAATAGATAAGGGGTTCTGATTTGCCAGAGTTCCCGCAAGTTTTATCCTCGTGATCCGTTATCATCCACCCCCTCCATATTTGGCTAGCCCAAAGGGTCCATGTACCTATATAGTATATACTTGGGCCTTCAAGGGGTTCCCATATGGTAGCTTTAGGGCCCAAATATATACTATATGGGTACACAAAAGGGACATTCAGTTCGAGAACCGGGCACCCTATAGGCCGCAGCCGCATTGTAGCAGAAGCCCTGCCCAGGATTGCGAAGAAGGAGGCCGCGTGCTCTCCAGCTCGAGTCTGAGAGAAGATTCGAAGTTTCGGGTTAGGGTTTAGGGTTGAGGGTTGAGGGTTGAGGGTTTAGGGTTTAGGGTTTAGGGTTTCAACCACCATGGACCTTCTTTTTGGTACACGAAGCTGATGGAAGGGAGAGCCCCGTAAGAAAGATCTCCGCCCCCCCCCCCCCCCCCCCCCCCCCAACCCTAAACCCTAAACCCTAAGCCCTAAACCCTGAACCCTATAAACCCTAAACCCTAAACCCACGTCGTTTGGAAGTGGTGTTTCCAAAGGCGCAGACAGACCCAGTGCAGCCTTGGCGGCTCTTGCTGCAGCGGCCCTAGATCTCTCATGTGTATCATGTCTTGGAAGCCGAGAAACCCTAAACCCTAAACCCTAAGCCCTAAACCCTAAACCCTAAACCCTAAACCCCAAACCCGAAACCCTAAACCCTAAACCCTAAACCCTAAACCCTAAACCCTAGGCTTAGCTTGCTAAAGCTAAGCTGAGCCAGAAGTCTGGCAGCAGATCACGCTGGCCAGGCAGCTGCGGATGGAAGCCTTGGCAGCAAGCTCCGAGCTCTGCTAGGCCTTGCTGTTGGTTTAGGGTTTAGGGTTTAGGGTTAAGGGTTTAGGGTTTTGGGTTTTGGGTTTTGGGTTTTGGGTTTAGGGTTTAGGGTTTAGTAGGGAATTGAGGGAAATGAGGTCCCCTATATCCCGCGAGATATACCGAAAGGGGAAACTAACCAGCAGTAAGAGGCTTCGAAGCTCGGGGAGCGTTCCAGACATGAGCCGAGCACTTCTCCAAAATGTGGTCCCCTTCGAGGGCCCTTATAATAAGACGCCCCCCAACAAATATGTGGGGTACCCAAAATGGGACCATAATTTGAGAACTGACCACATGAGCAGGAAGTGCCGTGGGCGAGCTCACGCTGGAGAGGCGCCAGTTGCACGCGAGCCTTCTGTCCAAGCATGGATTGGCCTCTCACACCCGTCACCTGGACTTCAAGCTCCCTTTTTCTTTGCTTTGCTGTTTTTTCTCTCCCATGTCCTGGGTGTCAGGGAAGTCGCAGAAAGTCGCAGACACGTATTTGTAGTCATACACATAGCTCTAGAAGTGGATGATGCGCAGAGGCTTGTGCTGCTGCTGGCGGGCATTCGGCGTCGACCATCAGCCAGTACCAGCTCAGGATGGGCGTCAGCTGTTCTGCGGGGTTAACTTGATCGCAGTAAGACCCTGCACACCTTCTTTAAATTTAACCAGACACCATTCTCCAAAGCGAGCATAAGGCTCGAAAACACATGCCAGGACATTGGATTACAAGTTGGTACGACGTCTGGACCTTGCGTGCAGTTGTGCGGCATTGTTTCACTTAAGGTTGCACCGCGTTTGCAGAATGCCTGGTTCATGTCGTAGCCCTGGCTCTAGTCGCCCTTGCTGAAGGCGACGAAGCTACGAACACCGTAATCCTGTAATCCCCCCCCAGCCCTGACCCTTATATTGTGTATATTGTACATATATTCTGTTGCATATATATATATATATGTATATGTATATGTATATGTATATGTATATGTATATGTATATGTATATGTATATACATATATACGTGTATATATATATATATAGATATGCATATACATGTACATATGCATATAGATATACATATACATATACATATACATACTTATTCATTTAACACTCCATGAAAAAGCCCCGAGGCCCTCTTGGCATCCCTCCGGCGGCTTCAAGGGCGCTCCAGGCAAGAAATGGCAACACGGGAGGTTGAGGGTTTAGGGTTTAGGGTTTAGGGTTTAGGGTTTAGGGTTTAGGGTTTAGGGTTTAGGGTTTAGGGTTTAGTCATCTCAAGTCATCTCAGCTCCTGATTTTACTGTTGTTCTTCCCCTAAACCCTACAGCCCTACAGCCCTACAGCGCTACAGCGCTACAACCCTAAACCCTAAACCCTAAACCCTAAACCCTAGACCAACTATTTGTGGTACTTTCAACCGGTAATCTTTAGGACCTTTAGTTGCTACCTCCTTTGCAGGCTGCAGCTTCTCCAAGCTGCATCCGAGGCGTGTGAGCTGTGCGCGGAAGTGAGTTTGAGAGAAGACTGTTACAGCCTTAGGGTTTAGGGTTGAGGGTTTCGGTTTTAGGGTTTAGGCTAAGGTTTTAGGGTTTAGGGTTTCGGTTTTAGGGTTTGGGGTTTACTTCGTTGCGGGTTTGAGTTCGTGCCGCAAGTTGTCGCGTGTCAGGTCGCAGAGTGCTTCGAGAGGCTGGATGCACAAGGGCACTAGGTATTGCTGTCTTTCCTGCAGCCTGAAGACACCGTCCAGTCCTCCAGGACGGGCGATTATACCCTATAACCCCCCTTGAAAAGGCCCTTGAAAGGGTTGATTTTGGGGATGAAGGGGATTACAGGGCCTAATAGCCCGTCCAGTCCCTGCATATTCGGCAAGACTCCGGCACCAATGCATGGCACTTGATCAGCCTCGTTCAGTCGTGGACATCATAGTTCCTCAAACCTGTGACATACCCCCCTGGTTCTTCGTAGGGAATGAGGGAATTAGGGGCCTGTATATATAGCCTGTAAGGGATTATACAGGTTACCCCATTCCTTCATTCCCGACTAAGAACCAGCCAGAGAAGCATCAGAGCGAGCGTGGTCGGCGCTGACCAGGTGGCCACTGGCTCTGTGCGCCGCCGAGCACGAGCTTTCCAAGACCCTCTCGGCGGCCGCATGGGCTGAAGTTCTCACCCAGCCTTTTTCGTTGTAATTGCAGGGTTTTGGGGGTCTTCAGGGTTTTGGGATTTAGGGGTTTAGGGTTGAGGGTTTTGGGGGCTTCAGGATTAAGGGGAGGCTGGCGGATTAGATATTGTGGCTCTTGGTGTGTGTGTGTGTGTACAGCTGCCAGGTGTGTCTGTCCCCTGGAGACAAGATATCACCATGTTCGGACACATGTTGTCCCGAACAAACCCTAAATCCTTAAACCCTAAACCCGAAACAAAGAAGTCCTAACTCACCGTACCACAAACAGATGTACTGCATGGCGCATGGGCAGCGAAGGCCTTTCCCGCAAGCGGTGAAGCCTTCCTGCCGCTCTGGCCGCAGCCTTGAATGTAGCCCACGGAGTCGCTCAGTGATAATATACAGAACATATTTCAAAATTAATGTGAATAAAAACCCTAGTAAGAATAAATAAATAAATAATCAAATAAATAAATATATATATATATATATGTGTAAGAATCAATAGAAATATATATATATATATATATATATATATCAATATATATATATATATAATAACTAAAAATATATAAATAATATACCTATATATATAAGACAACATATATATATATATATATATATATATATAATATATTCTTACATATATATATATATATATATATATATATACGCATATGTATATATATATATACGAGCATAATGTAAGACACTAGTAGTTAGTGCAATAAGAGCAGGTAAGCCATTGGGCCTTTTGCGTGCCGTTCGCTGCATCAGGCAGCAGCTGCACGGCACCCGCCGGCTGCAGCTTCTCTTCGCGCACCATCCAAGGCTCTGGGAACTGGGAATGTGGCCCTTCAATCCTAAGCCCTGGTTTAGGGTTTAGGGTTTAGGGTTAGGGTTTAGGGTTTAGGGTTTAGGGAACCCTATAAATACCCTAAATGCCCTAAATGCCCCTAAATACCCCTCAATACCACGAAGTGCCCTAAACCTAGACTTGAAGCGCAGCGGTTGTTGGCCCGGTCCTTGCGTCACTTGTTGAGACGTATGCCTGCAGCTAGACCCTCTTGCGCTTTTGATCCTGGGTTTTGGGGTTCAGGGTAGTTCTCTCAAGAAGGCATGGAAACTCCTCTGCTGGTAGATCTGCTAGACTTGTGACGTCTGTTGCTGCTGCAGTGAGGTTTAGGGTTGAGGGTTGAGGGCTTAGGGTTTAGGGTTTAGGGTTTAGGGGCATCCTAAATGGAAGCTTCGGCACGTCGCTGGAGGTTGCTCCTGCCGTCATCGAAACTGCACAGGCCGTGTCGCTTGGTCCTGTCCGTCAAAAGGTGGTGAGGTAGCTCAGGCAATCTGAGAAGCTTCTGTGCAAAGATGACTGAAGCTGGAGACTTCCGATAGTCGATGAGGTCTTAGGGTTTAGGGTTTAGGGATGATTGTCGCAGCAAGCAGGGCGCTGGATACTGGAGCACGTCAAGGGATGTGGCCTTTGGTTTCGCACGCACATCCTGGCGATAGAAGGCGTTCCCAAGAAGTACCCACTCTTTCACGTTGTACCCTAAACCCTAAACCCCAAACCCTACTGCAGGCGACAGGCAATCCTTTGGCGAGGCAAGCCTCTTTGGAATGCTCTCGCAATCTCGCCATCAGTGGGGGGTGAACTGAAGGAGTTGGTAGAATACCCTACAGGGTCCAGTTGTAGTGTTCGTAAGGAATTTGGTAGCCAAAAAAAGCCCCCCCACTTGTAACCACTTGTGACTCGGCCTGAGTGCAGCTAGGCATCGCATGGCTGACATGGCTGACATGTCCCTTGGGTCGAAGCATGCTACTTACTGAATGATTGCTTCGTCTCGGCCGCCATGCCTGGCTCAACACCAGTGATTTACGATGTGCCTCTTCCGTGTTGTAGCCGCAGCAGCACGCTGCAGGCAAGGTGGTCTGAGCACAAATAGCCATGGCTGCAAGTCGCCAAGCTCGTGTTTGATTCACCGCGGGAGTGCCAGGACGGCCGCTAGAGTACATGGAAGTCTCTACGGCAGCCAGTCTGCTGCCGAGGTTGTCCTGAGCGCTCCTGCAGGTAATGTTTTGTTGGCACATGAGCGTCCTCATAAGCTGCCTGGAGCCGAACAGTAACATTGCATTGCCGACTTCTCACGTTCTTGAGGTTTGAACATCTCTCCGCACACGTCAGCCCATGACTCTTACATTTGGGATGAGGAGGATGAGGCCTTCTGCTTAGCCCTCCCAAAGGGTCCATGTACCTCTATAGTATCTACTTGGGCCCTAAACCCTAAACCCTAAACTGGGGGATTCCTATATAGTAGCTTTAGGGCCCGAGTATATACTATGTGGGTACATGGACCCTTAGGGCCTTTGTGTTCAAGCTGTAGGAGTTGGTCGTCTCCTACGGTTGTTGCAATTATTTCCATGGCCATGGCTACTGCTTCTATCGTTGCCCTGCCAGAATCTCAGGAAAACGTCACTTGAGTCTTTGCTCACAATCTTCAGGCTGCCATTGCCACCTGCCTTTCGTCTCCGCGCGAAGTGGCTGGAGGCACAGGGTTTGGCTCCCAGGGTAGATTCCGATACCGCCAAGGAATTAATCGGCAGCTCAAGAGCCCGCGAAGCCACGAAAACAGGTGGAAATAGAAACATGTGGCACGAGCTTGATGTGTCTTCCTTTGGAGGTGAACTGCCGATGTATCTCTCTGGCGAGCACTTTCTTGGTTCTGGAGTCACCCCACTGCGGTACAGTCAGGCGCAGGACAGGAACCTACCAGCCGCCAGAGTATGCTGCATGATGGGGTGCCGCAGCAACGACGCTTCTCTTTTATGACTTGCGTTCTATAAACATCCCGGGGTGGCAAGCGGTGATTGTTGATACTTCGGTTCCAGCTCTGGAGATTGTGTTTCAATCGACTAGGTACCGACAGGTAGGTAAACAAGATTGGTGGTATGTTGTAATGTTTATGCTTAGTTCCCTTGCATCTGTTCTTGTGTCCACTCTCAGCCCCCATTGGCGAGGAGTTGCTCAACATACTGATGCACACTCCCTCCATTGCCGTCAACCCGGCTTACGTCAGCACCCTCAGACTGGGACGCTGCTGAAGTTTCCTGAGATGTGGGGTTTCCGAAAATGGGGGGTACCCCTTTTGGGGTTCCTTTAAGGAGATTCTATTCCATTTAAAAATTTTGGGGCATGAAAGTAAGGTTACCCCGATTTTGGGAAATGCGCCATATCGGTGGCAAGTTGAACAGACTGAATGCAACGTGTAGGTCGCGAAGCTGAAGGGCTCGAGTCTCTTCACAGAAGCAGGAGACCTGCTCCGGATGCCGAGCCTTCAGGAATGTAGGGTTTAGGGTTTAGTGTTTAGGGTTCAGGGTTCAGGGTTTAGTGTGTAGGGTTTAGGGTTTGGGGTTTGGGGTTTGGGGTTTAGGGTTTAGGGTTTAGGGTTTAGGGTTTGTGGAGGAATGTGCTGTGCGTCGTGTGCCAGAATCCAGGACGCTGTGATGTCACAGTTCCCCTCATCTTGTCCTCTGTGACGGTCTCGCCCAAGGTGCGGGAATCTGCGTACTCACTCCACTCTCTCATATGCTGATAATGGGAATCTGCGTACTGTGTAGAACCTTCGCTCCACTCTCTCACATGCTTGCTTGGGACCGTCAGATGATGTGTGCAAGTTGTGCAAGTGCTTCTTTAACGACCTCAAGCGGAGGCGAACGCCAGGGGACAGTTTGCAATCATTGTTCGGGAGCACACAGGCTGTCGTGGGCTCAGACCTTGAATCCAGGACAGCCTATGGCCAGTTAGTAAGCATCCCCTCTTGGGTGGGCCGCATCAAGAGAACAAGCCCCCCAAAAGGGATCAGAATCCAGCGAATCCCAATACAGCAATACAGTAAGACATTAAATGAATGGACACAAACAGATACATATATACATAAACACATAGATATAGATATACATAACATATATATATGTGTATATATAATATACATACAATTACATACATATATCTTATTATCGAATGTGTACATACTATGGGCACGGACCTATGGATTCTCGTCTTGCCACGATTACAAGCTGAGGCTTCAACTTGCCAACCTGCGTGGACAGGCCTGGGCTAGTTGTGGTGGGCAGCTTGTCAGGGTAGGGTGTTCAGGGTTTAGGGTTTAGGGTTTTCAGGGTTTAGGGTTTAGGGTTTAGGGTTTTCAGTTTTCAGGGTTTCGGGTGCAGGGTTCTAGCCGCTGCTTTGTACGGCACCCTCATGCAATGGATCCGAATAGGGACCCTGATTTAGAGAAGTACCCACATGATGTCGAGCGAGATGTAAGCAGCCCTTGCACTGCCTTTCAAGTTGCTCCAGGTTGTTCAGCCACAGTTGAGGATTGTTTGGGGTCTAGGGTTTAGGGTTTAGGGTTTAGGGTGTAGGGTTTCCGTGCAGGTGTTGGCTCTTCCAGATGGACGCTAGACAGCGCATCGTGTCGAGCACGATCGAGAAGTTGTGCGCAGCAGGCGGGGCAGCTTCCAGAGTTTCGCTTCGGGGACCCTGAACCCTGAACCCTAAACCCTAAAGCCTAAACCCTAAACCCTAAACCCTAAACCCTAAACCCTAAACCCTAACAATGGAGTCAGACGAAAGGTGCCGTGCTGGAGAGCACCGTGAACCCTGCCCAGCTTCGACAAGTTGCTTTGTCCTGCATGGTTGCAAGGCCGTTAGCAACAGCTGGTTTAGGGTTTAGGGTTTAGGGTTTAGGGTTTAGGGTTTAGGGTTTAGGGTCACGGGCATGTGTGCAAGCATCTCTACGACGCAGTCCGAAAGTGAGGTTAGTGACACTTCCAGAGCTCTGGTCTATATGGCACCTCTTGTGCCGCTCCTGCAGGACTTGCGCACGTGAGAGACCGGTATGGGTGAGAGCGGGAGCGAACACAAAACATGTTAGACCCGCAAGCCGGCAAGCCCAAAACCCGAAATCCTGAATTCAAATCCCAACCCCAAGACGAATCAAACACTAAACCCTAAACCCTAAACCCCACTTAAGCCCTAAGCACCGCAGATTCTAAGATCCTTGCAGGACGGCGAACATGAGAGCGAGGCTGGAGAAAGCTCACGAGGCACCCTGAGAGATCGAATAGGGGCCTTATGACAGGGCCCACCTCTTTAAGGGTTTAGAGTTTAGGGTTTAGGGCTTAGGGTTTAGGGTTTAGCTACGTGGTCCCTTGAAAGGCTCCCCTACGTTCCTAGAATGGTTCTGAAGTATGGGTTCAGGGGGTTGATAGGGTATATAGGGCGGGGGGGGGGGGGGTACAGTTAAGGAACATCTCAGAGTCTTAGAATCTCAGAACCACTGCATTGCATGTATTGCGCGGCTGCCTGTTCTTCAGCAGTTCCCATTGACACGCAAAAATCTCGGAGCCGAAGCCACGCAGTACCTCAAGACCTCATCAAACCCCCCCCCCCCCCTAAACCCTAAACCCTGACTAAACCCTAAAACCCCTAAAACCCCTGAAACCCTAAAACCCCTAAAACCCTAAAACCCTAAACCCGAAACCCTTGAAAATCAAGCCCCAGGTCCGGCCAATGCCCGGGCTGTCAAGGTCTTCAAGGCCCAGGCAACTGTTGGAAACTCTTTGCTGGGGGAGCAAGAACCCAAGCGCGGTGAACCGCGAAAGCAGACCCTAAGCCTTGAACCCTAGGGTTTAGGGTTTAGGGTTTAGGGTTTAGGGTTTAGGGTTTAGGGTTTAGGGTTAGGGTTTAGGGTTTAGGCCCTAAACCCTAAACCCTAAAAGTTCCATGCTCTTGACTATGGAGGTGCTGGAGGCACGTGGAGCAGGCCGGGCAGACAAGAAACGAGCGAGCTTGCAACCCTAAACCCTAAACCCTAAAAACTAAACCCTAAACCCTAAACCCTAAACCGTGCAAAGCGCCCGCTTTTGCACTGCAACGAGGACCGTCCGCTTCAGCAGATGAGCCTCCCAAGGCCCGAATCTGCATGGAGGGGGTTTAGGGTTTAGGGTTTCGGGTAGGGGTTTAGGGTTTTACTGTTTAGGGTTTAGGGTCGAGGGTCTAGGGTTTAGGGTTTAGGGTTTATTTAGGGTTTAGGGGGTTTGCAGTAGGCTTTTGGGTTACCGGTTTGGCGTCTCGAAGCTTCGGGCTTCGAGTTTTCAAGATGCCCAACGAGCCACACCGCAACCTCCCAGGATGTTGCCCGGGAGTTGAAGATGCTGGCTCTAGCACAGAAGCACAGAGCGATTCTCTCCCTGCACCCTAGCTGCAGAGAGCGGCGAGGAAAACTAAACCCTAAACTTTAAACCCTAAACCCTAAACCCTAAACCCTGACTGGACTTTTCATCATCGGGATGCTCAAGGTACCCTGGGCTGCTGCTAAGGAACCTTACAATGAATCCTAAACCCTAACACCAAAACATTAAGTCACCACACTAGGGTTAGGTAGCAAATTTAGTTCCTTCCACAGGCAGCTAGTAATTTTAAGCTCCTAAACCCAAACCCTAAACCCTGAACCCAAAACCCTAAACCCTTAAGCCTAAACCCTCAACCCTCAACCCTGAACCTTGAACCCTAAACCCTAAACCCTAAACTTAAACCCTAAACTCTAAACCCTAATTAGGCTCCTCAAAAAAACGAGTGCTTAGGCATGGTCTGGCCAGGGTCCCGACCGGCTGGGCGTTGCTCACAGAGTGGTGCGAAGGGGGATGCTTGAGACTTGACAGAAGTTGAGGGTTTAGGGTTTAGGGTTTAGGGTTTACTGTAGGGTTAAGGGCTTCAGGTTACAGATTGGCATGTTCCCCCCTGTACGAACAGTCCTTAACAGGGATTGTAGTACCCCCCTATTTTAATCCCTATCACAGTAAGGACTGTATAAGAGAGAACATCCCAAGTTACAGATGTAGGTGTGGGGGGTATGTTTGGGGCTCGCAGGCTTGTATTGGGTTTCTTCAGATGGAGGTGACGCGTGACGGCTACAAAGGTTATATAGCTGCTTGCTGGCGATGCCCTGTCTTACTCTGAAGTTGCTAGGCATGCAGTCCACGCCACACTTGCATTCCTTCTTGCCACGCTACTCACACCCTTGAGCATGGCAATTTCAATGGCAGCTCATCGTATCGTGGCCCCAGGCTGCGCCATCTGACTGCTGGCCGGCAGTCTGAAAGCCAAGCTTCGCTGCTGGAGAAGCAGCTACTGGCTGGCATTGGGCACCTTCACCAACGAGGCGCGGGGAAGACCTCCTGGATTTTTTCCGGCCAGGCAGTCAGGAGGGTGCAATGTGTGGGGATGGAAAGGGGGGAGAAGGGGGGAAGCATGTGCAGTGCCTCAGGAATTGTTCACAGAGACGTGAAGCTCGCCCCTTGGCTCCAATTTCAGACTTTGGGATCTTGGCATCTTCCTTCAAATATCACAGGCGGATCACAGCTCCAGGAGAAGGCGATTCCAATTGGGGATCACCCGCTTGCCGGCATTGTTGGTGTAGCTCCCAACAGCATATTCGTGTAACGACCCCGGTTCATCGGGATTCAGCAGAGACTACGCGGCTGGAGACACAATTCGAAATCTCTGTATATTCATAGAGAGTTTAGGTCCCAGAAAGTGCCAATTCACAAAGGCTTGCTCACTGTAAGCTGTGCGAAAGTGGGCCCCACCAGACAAGCATTCGCAAGCAGCTACTCAGTCGTTTGGTGGTTCAGGGTTTAAGGTTCCGCCAAACCTGGCAAACCGAGAAGAAAGAACTCGAGCCGGCAATGCCACGAGCGATGAAGAGATCTAAACTTGTTGGGCCTTAGAACTGGAAAGGCCACGCGAGAGAACCGCCGTTGAAAAGGATCCCATTCAGAACAACCCCCTTCAGCCGCCCCAAGATTCGCCAAGCGGGCGTTACCCCACAACAGGGCCGCCGCTTGTTCAGGGCTCTTTTATAAGGATTCTAAGACTCGAGTTTTTTTGGGGCGGCCGGGGTGGGGGGGGGGGGGTGGGGTACATCTTAGGGCGCTTCTTGTTCAACATACTCTATCAGAATTGTTTTTGTATCATTACTGTATTTTTTCATTATCATGACTTCCCCACCCCCCTCATATGCAGCTCAGGAGAATATCCTGCTGCGTTCGAGGAGCCGGCTCGCGCTATCGGGGTTCGCCCTCGCCGCTCCCCTTTGTGAAGCATGCGAGGCCACAGAGCCCGCCGGGCGACCCAGAGCCATGAACTTAACGGGATTTCAGAGGAAGCACTTAAGGAATTAGGTACATTGTCTCCCCCACCCTTTTCAGGGGATTAGATGAGGTACTTATCTTCCTAATTCGCTACGAAGAAATCGTAGGTAAAGGGTCTTTTTGTTGGGCTTTAGGGCTTTGCACCAGCTTAAACCCCAAACCCTACACCCTAAACCCTACACCCTAAACCCTAAACCCTAAACCCTAAACCCTAAACCCTAAACCCTAAACCCTAAACCCTAAACCCTAAACCCTAAACCCTAAACCCTACACATGTCAAGCGGCGCCGCACAGTGTGAGGTTGGGACAGTTGGCTACATGGCACCGGAGGCCAAGAACCTCCGTGAAGCAGGGCTTCGTTAGGGTTTGGGGTTTGGGGTTTGGGGTTTAGGGTTTAGGGTTTAGGGTTTAGGAATTCAGTTGAGGATGTTCCTCCGTTTTGCACAGTCCCGTGCAGCCCACAATCCTGGAGTATCTCCAAGGCCTCAACTGCTTCGTCAAGCCCAACGTCGCCATTCTGAAGCTAGGGTATATCTCTGGGGTTTAAACATATTACCGGGTTGAGGCTTGAAAATTGAGTCCCCAACAGCCAGCAAGCCATCAAGCAACAGTCTCGAAGCCGAACTTTGTGACATGCTTGCGTTTGCAGGTCATCCGGTATGCACCTGCGTTGGAACCAGCAGATGTTTTTGCTGCAGGCGTGCACACTGCACAGAGCGAACCAGAGATTCGGAGTGGTTGCTATGCAGCTGTGTGCGGTTCCGCTTAGAAGTTCTGCTCGGTGAATGGCACTCTTCAACTTTTTGTAGATGACACCTTCCTACCTTTTAGGGTTTAGGGTTTAGGGTTTAGGGATCCTTTTGCAGGTGTGGTGCTCTACACCCTCCTGCTTGGTCGGCAACCTTTTGGTGGTGAGACACCGGCTGAGGAGACCAAGTACAGGACAACTTGTACAGAGGCCTCTTGGGATCTTGCAACAACTTTAGGGTTTAGGGTTTAGGGTTTAGGGTTTAGGAACTTTCAGATGCAGCTGCCTGCAGAGAAGGGCTTCGACCGAAGTGCCCTGTTGGAGAGTCCCCTCGCCGAAAGAAAGCGCTTGATGCCGCCTTGCGTCTCTTCCACAGTTCTAGCGTAGTCCAGTGAGCCTCATCAGGCAGACTACACTGGGCTGATCTTTCAGAAGCTTGGTAGCAGCTGATGGCTGATGTCCCCCAGCATGTTTCTAGGCATCAGTGAGCTGACATGCTGGAGTTCTCCCAAAGTGCATGGTGAGACGGTCACATTGAAGCTCCGCTCTTAGGGTTCAGGGTTCAGGGTTTAGGGTTTAGGGTTTAGGGTTTAGGGTTTAGGGTTTAGGGTTTTTTCAGCTTTCCCTCTCTTCTGTGGGGTGTGTGCCTTGCTAGCTTCGCTGCCTAAGGAACGTGTCTGGCCTTTGTCAGCGGTTGCTGCAGTCCCTTCTTGAGAAAGACCCTGTCGAACGACCGAAAGCAGTGGCAGCTGCTCAGGCAGGGTGACCTGGGTCAACGTCCAGTCGCAATGATTGCTGCTTACTGGGACCCCCTGAATGAGGGCCCTATAATGCCGTAAGGATACCCTTTAAGGGATTGTACAGGGCCCTCAATCCCTCATTCCCTACTGATCATTCCTCCGGGGAGACCCGGGTTGATTCCAGTTGTGCAACTTGTGGACACGCTGCAGGACGACTGGTTTTTCATGGACCCCACGAAGCCCCTGAGAGACGTCGAGGCATGCGACCCCTGGCATGCGTGGTAATTTTGGAAACCCCCATGTCAATTGCTCACCCAGAGAGTGCCCGTGTTCCTGGCGCAGGCTGCGTCGCCTGTCTCGCAAGCTTCTTGTGCCTGTGATTGCATGCGAGCTACCGAGCCTCCAAGAGTACGTGTCAGTGCAGGTTGGAAGTTGGCCTACTTGGAGGTTCCGGGTACTTCTAGCCCAATTGGAACTGTACTTATAAGCCCCCTAGCGGATGCTGTTTCGTCGGTTTCAGTTGCCCGTAAGATCCAATGGGCATCTCAGCTAAGGTGCAAGCAGCAGAAGGGCATCGCGCCTTGATATGTTCTGGAGCAGGCAGCCAAAGCAGCTGGGGAAGTACGCAGGGCCCGCAGGGCCTACACCCCCAAACCCTAAACACAAACACCGTTGGGCCTTCTGCCGCCCTAAGTTACCCCCTGAAACACACTCCAGTCCCCCAAAAGGCTGTTGCCAAGTTTATGTGTGTATATTATATATATATATGTATGTATGCATGCATGTATGCATGTATGCATGTATGTATGTTTGGATGTATGTACGTATGTATGTACATGTATCTGTATACACATGTCATAAATATAAATAAATAAATAAATAAAAGTATATATATATATATATACTTATATATATATGTATATGTATATATATATATATATGGATACATATAGCTGTAGATAGATCGATAGATAGATAGATATATAAATGTAAATATAATCGGCTCTGGCTGTTGTTGTTCAGGCGGGTCTCCGCAGCACTGCCGACGAGGCAGCTTCCAGGGGCACGTGCTTGCAAGCGGGTTTAGGGGTTTGGGGTTTAGGGTTTAGGGTTTGCTGCCCACGATGTCGCGGTACCGGAACAAGTTCTCCTTGGGGTCATGACGCTGGGGGGGCCCCTCTCACTGCCCCCCTCCTGGACTCGTGCCCCCCCCCCCCTCCCTGGCCCCCCGATGGACCCCCTCCTAGGGCTCTCTGCCTGTGGCTTTTTTGGTGAACCTGAACCAGGCTGGCGACAACCGTGACGGAATGAAAAAGTTTTATGGAAAGGAAGCAGTTGGCTTGAGTTTAGGCCTACACCCTAGAAGGAATAGCTTTGGGTGGCTTTGCCGCCTCGGACGGCGCGGGGTGGGAGAAAAATGTTAGACGGCCTTCCACAATCGGGCCAAAGCTGCTCTTCGCGCTTCACGAGGCTTTCGAGCTTGTTCCAAAACCTAACCTTCACAGCATCTACGCCCTATCACAGCAAACCCTAAACCCTAAACCCTAAACCCTCAAAATGGTGTTGTCTAAAGCCCCAAATTCCCAAAATCCCTGGGTGCATCACGATGCTCGCTGCCGAGCCCTGAGGAAGCAGCGAGCTGATTCTAGGACATCTCAGGCCATGTGGGGAGTAGGGTTTAGGGTTTAGGGTTTCGGGTTCGGGTTTCGGGTTCGGGTTTAAGGGTGTAGGGCCCCTGAAGGACTCGCCAGCGCAACCGCCGCAGGCGGCTTCCTTCTTGCAGGTGCTGCTCGCGGGGGTTTACGGAAAGGAGGGACCCCTAATATAGACCCCCTGAATAGTAGGATTCCCTTTTTAGTAAGGACCCCAATAAGGTACCCCTAATTTCTGAAGGCTCACACATCCTCCGAGGGTCTTAGGGCTTCCGAGATCTAGCGCAGTTCTGCCCCCCACCCCCCCCCAATCCAGGTGTAGCAGAGGCCTGACGCGCTCCTTTCAGAGTAAGAGTTTTTCTTTAAGTTGCCACTCTGCACGACGATAATCCCGCCCCAATATAAGCTGGATGTTTTTCATTTCCAGCGTCTGCCAGGATCGGTGGCCAAGGAAGTCCTCAAAGGCAATGTCTCGCTTCCGCGCGTGGCTTCCTTTCAGGCATCTTAGGGCATGGTGTGCCGCCTGAGCCCCACAAGTCGACATGGGGGGCTTACGAAAGTAAGGGAACCCTAATATAGACCCCAAATTTTTAGGATTCCCTCAGAACAAGGACCCCAAGAAGGTACCCCCCCGAATTTCGGAAACCCCCCCCCTCCCATGGCAGACGGCCAGGAAACGGGATGACATGCTGGACTGCACGCAGCTGAGTGCGGTGGTGCAGAGGCATCCCAAGCCTTAAACCCTAAACCCGAAGCCATGCAGTCTGCTCCAAAGATGTCCGAATATGACTCCAGGCTAGCAGCTTTAGGATGAAAGGGGGTTTAGGGTTTAGGGTTTAGGGTTCAGGGTTTAGGGTTTAGGGTTTAGGGTTTAGGGTTTAGGGTTTAGATCATGTTTGTAAAAGTCCTCCTGCAACTGAGCAGGTGACCGGAAGTCGAGGTTGATGATGGTCATCCGACAATTTGATGTCCTTTCTCCGGCTGAGGATAGGAGTGATATTTTCGCGCCACAACACACGGCGCCCATTTGAAGCCAAGGCAAAGTATATAGTGCAGGTACGTGTTGTCAAGCGGCCACACAGGAGGGGACGCTACTGCAGTTGCGAAGCAGTGAGCGACTGACTGGGGGTGTGCTTGCCATCAGGATACCCCTGTGCCGCCCTCAGGTATCCTCAATCTGCATGACGCAACTTTTGATCGAGCAAAGGTTCTTGCACCCTTCCTTTAATTACCGGCATTCCTGCCTCACTTGCCTCTCCTCATGTGATTGAGTTCAGCACAGCACGTTGACTTGCCGAGGACCCTTTAGAGGTACCTCACAATCCCTTTGTCATTCCCCAGAGGGTCCATTTGTATTACCACTGTGGAATTAGGTACCCAAAACCATACTAAATAGGGTTTTGGGGTACCTAATTCCATAGTAGTAGTACAAATGGACCCTCTGGATTCCCTTTGTGCGTCAGGGTCATACCCTGAAAGCGCCTCAAAGGACTGGGGAGAGGATTTGAATCCTCTCGAGCGCGAGCTGTGAGCATTCTAGGCTCTACCGTCTCTGCATTCCTGGGGGTCTTTTCTACAGTAGCCCCTAAACCCTAAACCCTAAACCCTAAACCCTAAACCCTAAACCCTAAACCCTAAACCCTAAACCCTAAACCCTAAACCCTAAACCGGGGTGTCAGATGTCAGTTATGTGTCGGCATTTTTCCGAGCAACCACGCTCCAGCGCGCCTCGGCATCGGCTCTATTGTAGCCGGTGTGGAGCGGCGCAGTTCCATCTGCTCAGCCTTGGGCCGTCTCATCAGAGTCACGCCGGAGTAGGGTTTAGGGTTTAGGGCTAACTCTCGGGCGAATGTGTTGCTTCTCCTGCTGCCGGCGATGTACCACGGTGACTCGCCCGAGCGTAAGTGCCAGGCCATGGCGAATCCTGGCACTCAGTAACTTAGTAGACGTAGTCTCGAAGGCAGCTAGCTGCTGAGCTTGGGCAAAGTCCAGCATAGTCACTAAACCATAAGACCTAATTTCGGAACCCCCAAAAAACCTCAAAGTTTAGGGCCGTGATTTTTCGGGCATGCTTGTTGCCTTAAAAGCTTTTCGAACAAGTCCTCGGTCGGCGAAGCTGACTGCAGGACGGGCTCCGCATTTGGCCCCGTGTTTTTCCATACTTGCCCCTTTTTTGGCAAGTAAGAGTGCTTCTCATGTGCATGCATGCAGCTTCTGAATCCATTCGTTCGGACACGGGCTTGCAAAAGGAAGTGCGTGGATGCATGCCTCGTGCGGACTGGCCATGTCAAAACCCTAAACCCTAAACCCTAAATCCTAAACAGGGTAGATACTATACAGGTACATGGACCCTTTGGGCATCCTGGGGCTTTCTTTGGGGAGTTGCATCTTTCCTGCGACGGTGTGTCTGGGAAGGTGGCGCGGCGCGGTTCATCTGCGCAGACCGCGGGGCAGCCTTGCCACGTCTGACTTTGCAGGCGCAGTGAGAGCAACAGTTTATGAACTGCTTCCTGTTCGTCAAAACCTGCTACGTTCGGACCCGAACCCTAAACCCTAAACCCTAAACCCTAAACCCTAAACCCTAAACCCTAAACCCTAAACCCTAAACCCTAAACCCTAAACCCTAAACCCTAAACCCTAAACCCTAAACCCTAAACCCTAAACCCTAAACCCTAAACCTAAACGCTTTAAGAGAAAGAAGTCCAACGCACACGGGGGTTCAGCAGTCAAGCAGAAGGTGTGGGCTCTTTCAAAATGTCAGAGTTCCTCATGCCAAAGCGGAGGGAAGATCATTGGCCGTAACAAGGCTTCTTTCCCGCAGTGCCCCTAAACCGTGAACCGTGAACCCTAAACCCGAAACCCGAAACCCGAAACCCGAAACCCGAAACCCTAAACCCCCTAAACCCCCTAAACCCTAAACTAACTCTGACTTGGTTAGGTCAAGAGCTGCCTATGGGAGATTCACGTGGGACATGCCGCTCGATGGGTCCAGCTCCCAGCCCTGCGATGATATTGAAATTCAAGCCACCGAGGCTACCTTTTGAGGGTCCTTTTCATAAAGGGGTTAGGGTTTAGGATTTAATTAGGGTTTAGGGTTTAGGATTCAGGGTTTGTGCCGTAGGCAGGGGACCCGGAAAAGGGGCCCAATTTAGAGAACTCACTCACAAACACTTACTTTGATGACCTTCTTTTGCAGCTTTGCAAGTTACCCGTCCTCTGCCAAAGCCCCAACAGCCCCCTCCCCCCCCCGCCCGCCCGACCCCGTCCTCCGCCTGGGTACTGCCAGGCAAGTTCCTCCGACGGCCAGGCGTGTGGTTTGCTAAGTTGCGTGAGCGATCGAAGTAGATGCGAAACGCACCAGAATTCACGCAAGTAGCTGGTGTCTTCGTTGGCAGCCGATGCTCTGACATCCACGCTTTGCACCGATCTCTGCTACAGGTTCCGCATGGTGAGAGCATCGAGAAGTACGCCTTGTTGGCATTGAGCAGGCCGTGCAGAGTGTAACTAAGTAGTCATGGATGTCGATGTTCAGAGTCGACTCTTTTGTATACTGTTCTGTCTGTAGCGATTCTGTCGGGTATCTCGACTCTAGGAGCCCTAAACCCTAAACCCTAAAGCCTATACCCTAAAACT